CTTAACCAGGTGTGCTGCTTTGTTGCTCTTTAAAAGCTTTTCTCTTTAACGATATGCCCCCTGCTTTCTGGTCTTTCTGTATGGCGTCTGGCCCTGTATTAGTTTCCTATTGCTGCTGTAACAAATTACCACACATTTAGTGGCTTAAAACTACACAGTTATTATAGTTCTGGAGGTCAGAAGTCATAAACCCAAGGTGTCAGCAAAGCTGTGTTCCTTCTGGAGGCTCTGCAGAGGATTGTTTCCCTGCCTTTTCCAGTTTCTAGAGGCCCCCTCCATTCTTTGGCTTATGCTCATGGCTCTTTCTTCCATCTTCAAAGCATGGCATCTTCAAATCTTTCTTCCTCTCTCTGATCTCTGACCTCTATTCCAGTAATCATATCTCCTTTCCTAACTCTGACCTCCTGCCTCCTACTTATGAGGACTCTTGTGATTACATTGGGCTCATTCAGATAATCCAGGATAATCTCCCCATCAGAACATCCTTAATCTAATCACATTTGCAAAATTCCTTTTTGTCATGTAAAGTAACATTCACAAGATTAGGTTGGCCATCATTCTGCCTACCACAGGCCCCATGAGTCCTGTTGTCAGTGTCAGAGAGGGGAGTGACAAAGAGGCTTCTGAGGCTCCCCAGAGGTCAGAGGCTAAGGATCAGAGCTGGGATGTGGGGAAGGGGCACCTTCTCTGCAGGAAGCAGGAGCAGGCCCACCACCTCCTTAGTGGACACAGTCCAGGTCAGTGGCAGGATCTTTACGTTCATTGATCGGAGACGGACTCCATCTCTCCCTGCCAGTCCTGCAGCTTTCTGGGAGGCAGGGGGCAGCTCATGGTCCTGGGTTCTGAGCAGGGCACAGGATTGCTGGCTCCTGAGTCTCCTTCTCCTGCCTGCCTCATTTCTTTGTATCCCTCCTATCACCTTCACATGAAGCTTTCCAGACTGGGCAGATTAAGTAACCAGCTCCTGACTTCAGCATCTTCTTGATAGACTTCTTACCTTTTTTTGTGGTTTAAGTCAGGAAGCAAAGGAGAGAGGAGAAAATGCCAAGCAATACAGATAAGCCTGGGATTCCTTGGTGTCTAGAGAAGGAGCAACCACCCCCACAGCCAGATTATAACAGACAAGAACCACAGTGTTACGCCTTCCCATTTATTTTGCCCAGCTGAGCCAAAATCATACAATGCTCCCTGTTGGCAGGTCTCCCCATCCTACAGGAAGTATCTCCAACACCCTGGGCTGAGTTAAGGGCTGCTCATGGATGCCCACTAGCTCCTGTGAAGCGCTCTGCCATCCCCATGTGGCTTGTGATCACTTTTTAGTGCACCCTCTCCTCCCTTAGCTGAGCTGTCACCTTCCTGAGCGCAGGGACTTGTGTCTTATTTATAACTCCCCTCCCTACTGGAGTGCCTGACACAGGTAGGCTCTTTGTAAGTGATGGTTGGATGGACTGACCAGTGGATGCATGAAAACCCTCACATTGCAAGCTGCAGTGGCCACTAGTCCCCTTCTACATGTGCCTTCCCTGAAGTCATTGTATTGCAAGCATGAAGAATTCAGGGTCTGGCTCAGAAGAAAGAGGGAAAAACAGCCACCAGCTACAGAGAGGGGAGTGGGTAGCAGATGGGCAGAGGCAGGATGCCTGAGCAGGCAGGGGCTTGGCAAGTGTTACCTTCAATGGCTGACCTTTCCTCTGTAGATGGAGGTTCAGGCTTCAGGAACTGAGGGAAGCCATCCTGAAGTACCAGGAGCCTGACAGTGACCTTTTCCCCTCAGTCACATGCTGCAATCGCCCAACTGTGGTGTGAAGGGTCAGATATGGGGCCTGAGCCATTGTCTCAAGGAGATTTGTGTCACAGGCAGCCACCTCCCCACCTCATTCTCAGGATTTCTCTCTATTCCTGAAAGCTCCCTGTAAAGGTGGAAGGTTAAATATTAGTCAAGGGCTGGATTCTTGTTAAGCCATGGAGATAAACTCAGAAAGGACAGAAGATGCCCGAGGCAAGTTTATTTGACAAATTGTCCCTTCCCTCAAACACCTCCTATCTCCCAGGAATACTGTGGAGCCCACCTGTCAAAGGAGACTTTCTGGCTGCCTTGACAAGGTCCCTTTTGTAAGGAGATAATTCTGTTTTCTATCCCAGCTCTTGGTGGTGGTGGCCACATTCCCCCTCCTCCTTGGGGGAGGAGGGCTTTCTTTGAATTGTCCTGCTTTCTTTGAATTGTCCTGCTCTACCCCCATTTCCCTCCAAGCACTTTCTTGTCATCTCCTCTGCCCTGCCCTCTCTGCCCCCTGATGGAAGATAATTTTCTTCTCTGCTGTCATAATCTGTCCCTTATTCTGTAATCCTCACCCATCCCTGAGCCACATGGGTTTGTGTCCTAATCTCCCTTCCTTTCATAAATCAGTCTCCTTTATCCATTAGTCATTATTGCTTGTGTCTGCCTGAACTCCTGGAGCTCAGCCACTCAGCCTTGGACCTAGCATGCCTCAAGGCCCTGGGGAGAAACAAAGATCACAAGCCCAGTTGCCTAGAGTGATTTAGGCTGGGTTGTCAGCAGACATGTGATTCTGAAATCTTTATTGAACTGAGTAAGATAAACAGAATGTGTATTTATCAGGACATCTCAGTCCATCTGGAACGTTAGAGTATTTATGAAGTGTTCTCCCTGTTCAGGTACTTAAAATCCTCTGACAACATGTTTTGGCTCTCCTTATATGACACCATCTTGGATGACAGCTCCTGCACACAGAGTCAAGAGTTTCGGCTCTTGAAGTCTAGTTCCTGTTGCTCTTTTGGCTCTGTGACACCAACTGGGGATCATGTCTCCCTCCGATGAGGTTCCTGAGGAGCAGGGGAGATTGGTGTGCATGTGGAATGTGTAGATTGGAGGCATTTTCTTTAATAGATTAGAACAGTATTTTTAAATCCAAGTATTAAATATTTGTTGAACACCTACTCGTTGCAGGTACGAGTGATACGTGCTGGGATTAAAAACACAGAAAACTCACAGTCCCTGGCCTCCTAGTCTACAAGGAGACAGAAGGGAAAAAAAACACACAGATAATTATAATACAAAGAAATAAGTGCCAAAATCAGATATAAACAAAGTGGTGTGGTGTGGGAGTAAAGCGGAGAGACAAACTTTGTTGCTTGTCTATAAAATGTGGCTGATATATTTTACCAGCAGAGACAGTGTCAGGAATAAGTAAAATAATGAAGACTCACAGAATATGTGACATTTGAGCTGAATCTTGAAAGATGAGGAGTTTGCCGGGTAGAGACAGGACAGGGAGGAAAGTTACAGATGGAAAGTCCTCACCCTGCCCAAATGTTTTCAGAGTCAAGTAAGGTTGGAAAATACTTGAAAAGTAAATGTTTAAGGGTAAGGTATTGGTGTAAACTGACCAGCTGTGTAGTGAAGTCAGAGGTCTGGTTAGAGGCTTGAGGAAAGTCTGGTGCTTTTACATGGTAACTTGTAACCTTGGAGGACTAGGGGGCATCCTGGTCACTGTTTCAGAGGAGGGGAAAGCAAGAGGACTTTAACTTTTTTCCCTTTATTCTCAAGTACTTCATAAGCACTAGGAAGGTGAGAGTCCCATTTCTGCAACACAGGGCTGTGGGTTGCATAGGGAATGTGGTAGTAAAACAGTCCCTCCATCCTAACATTCAACATCTTAGCTCCCCTCCAGCCCTTGGAGGTTCCACGTTGCTGGGATCTCTCTGGGAGCCCTATGATCCCTAGAAAAGGAGGCAGAGTTCAAAGAAGATATAAGGACTGTGGCAAATAAGCATGTGAAAACATGCTCAACATCATTAGTTACTAGAGAAATGCAAATCAGAACCACAATGAGACACTGCTACACACCCATTAGAATAGCCAGACTTTTGAAGCTGACCATACGAAATGCTGGCAAGAATGCAGAGCCACAGGAACTCACGCACATTGCCGGTAGGAATGCAGACTGATATGGCCACTTTGGAAAACAGTTTGGCATTTTCTTATAAACTTAAACATACATTACCAGAACCCCACTTATGGGTATCTGCTCAACAGAAATGAAAACTCCTCTCAAAGACCTTTATAATCCACATAAGACTTCCATGCAAAGCATTTATAGCAACTTTATTTGTAATAGCCCCAAACTGGGAGCAACTAAATATCCATTAGTGGGTAGATGGGAAACTGAAACGTTCATATAATGGAGTTTATGAATCAGGAGGCACACCTACTGATATACAGCAATGGGATCAGGTCTCAGAAACATCATGGTGAGTGAAAGCAGCCAGACACCAAAGGCTACAAATTATATGATTCCATTTATGTGACATTCTGGAAGAGGCAAAACTATAGGAACGGACATCAACCAAACTACCGGTTGCCAGAGGTAGGGGAATGGGACTGACCTCAAGGGAGTGCAACATTGTGCAAGAGAACTTTTCAGTGTTATATGTGTTCTGTATATATAGAGAGAGTAAGTAATGATTAAACAAATACATTTCTCAAATCTCATCAAAATGTATACTTAGAAAAATGAATTTTTCTCTATGTAAATTATACCTTAACAAACCTAAGTAACAAAAGATTCCCCTAAATTTCTGTAGCCCCAAAATCAGGCTGAAGAAGCTGACATCCAGGATCCCGCCAGCTGCTCAGGGCTCCTGTTGAGCATACGACTTGAAAACAAAGCCCACACTTGCATCCTGATCAAATGCTGTTTCCCACCCACCAGAGCCAGTGCCCACACTTCCATGCCTACTTCTGACTTCCAGCCCTAGGCAGGGCATGCTCTGACCAACCTCTGCTTTGTGGCACTTGATCCCCATTTGTAACCCATTAACCTCGCCAAACTTTCTGGACGCTGGAGCTGGGCTTGAAGGATATTTGGCTTGCCTGTTAGAATCCCATGATCAGGAGCAAGAGCTTTTCTGCTTCTGTGCAGAGGGTGTCCTGTGGCCTCACTATGACCCTGAAGGTATCTTTGGGTCTGTCATTTCAGTGCTCCTCACATGGGTCAACTGTTCCAGTGTGCGGTGGGCCACCCGGGTTCAGGACATTTTCACAGCTGGCAAGCTCCTGGCCCTGGCCCTGATCATCATCATGGGAGTTGTACAGATCTGCAAAGGTGAGTGTCATCGCCACACAGAGCCCCGCCCAACTTTCCTCCCTTGCACATACACACTCCCTCACATGGTCTTTTGGATGTGTGCACACCCTGACATTTCCCAATTCTGGCCTTGAATGACTGCTCTTCTTCACTTGTCTGAAAAAGGGGAAGAGAAAATTATTTTCCCCAGGGTGTTTGGAAGTTAGGCGTGCCCCACATGGTTTGCAGAGTTCAACCCTCCCGTGCTGACTTGATGCCTCTATCACAGTGAGGTGTAGGCCCCAGATCTCTGGACCCCTGTTGCCCTCTTGCCCCAATCCCAGGGAAGCTCCCTGCATCTTCTATCATATGTTGTTTCTATCTTAAATTGGGGAACAGAGGAGGGGACTTTTGTATGCTTCAAAATACTCATAATCTCTACAAGAGAGAGCTCAACATTCCTGGGGCCCCTGCCAACATTCCCCACTGGATTTGGTCCTTTCCAAGCTGAGTCAGTATTTGGTTTCCATGGGACTCATGGCACCACGAGGCTCTGCCCAATGTCACTGCCTCCCAGAGAAAGTCAGATGACAAACAGGGAGAACTCCCTCCTGCCCACAAGCCCTGAAGGCAGTGTGGGGTGCTTAATATTTACTCCAGGAAACATAATTAAGGTTCTGCTCTACAATATGCCTGATTATTTTAATCAGTTAGCTTAAGATCTTTAGCAGGTTATATTGTTTTCAGGAATTTAGACTTCTAGAACTATATTGCTGCCATTTTTCCAAAGATAGTGAGTCCCTCCTAATCTGATCCCAGTGTTTTCTCCTAATCACTCTAATCTCCTTATTTCCTATCCAAATGATGGATTACAAATGAGTAAGTAAAGTATGGGCCGTTACTCTGTGTCTCATTACAAACTCACAGCGACCTCTTCTTGGGAGTTCACAGTGTGCAGAACTCTACGCTAAGGGTTGGGAAGGCAGTTGAAAAGCTCTTTGCTAACAGGCACCTGTCCTCAGGGAATCTACACAGGAAAAAGGAGCCCAATACCTTAGAAAGAGACAGGAGGATATTGACGAAGAAAGCAGAGCAAGGGAGAGCTACTACAGCATTGTGGGAGCTTATGTGGAGGTGTTCATCATGGTTTCTTCATGAAAATGTACAAATATAGGTATCAGAGCATGTGGTCAACAAACTGCCAGTGGCCCTAAACCTACACCTCCAAAACCCTAGCAAGCCCCAGCCCCTTAATTTACCCTGCCCTGCCTGGTGGCCTCACCTGGACGTTCCTACCAAGATATGTTATCTTTTAAAAGGGGAACATTCAGAACTGTGCTTTTTACCTGAAACCCCCTTTGACCTCAAGGTTACCAGGTCCTGGGAGGACCTGGCCCCAAATTTCCCTGCTTCTTTTGGTCCCACTTCTCCAGTTTGTGGGGTTATTGGGAACAAGACAGAGAGCTGCATGATTCCCTCAGAGAGGGGCAGAAACAGGACCAGGCAAGCCAGTGACTCCTGGGCCTCTGATCCAGCTCTCTGAGCAGCCTCCTGCCCCTTGTGTCCACAGGCGAATACTTCTGGTTGGAGCCAAAGAACGCATTTGAGAATTTCCAAGAACCCGACATCGGCCTCATCGCACTGGCTTTCCTTCAGGGCTCCTTTGCCTATGGAGGCTGGAACTTTCTTAATTATGTGACTGAGGAACTTGTTGATCCCTACAAGTGAGCTCTTCCCCAATCCCTTGAGAGTCCACAGCACCTCCTACTAGAAAGAGGGAGCCAGGTGTCCACTGCCTTCTTCTCCCCTCAGCCCCCATACTGACCATGACCAGGTCTATCCTGAAGAAATAGTTATTTCCCAGGAACATAGACCATCTGCCATCCACCATGCCAGGAGTGACTGTCCCGGAGCAGGTTAAAAGCTGAAAACAGTGATGAGGCAGCATCCCCTCTGAGAATGAAATGTGCCCTGGGAGGTTTATGGCCTCTTACTTAGCTATCTCAGGACAGACAGGTCTTTGTGTCTTGAGGCAGAGGGACGGGATGCATTGTGCGGATTCCAATCAGGGAGACATCAACAGGTATGGAGCATCTTTTTAGTCTAAGCTGTTTCATGTCCTTTAAATTATTCTGCCCACATCATGACAAAACCCACCCCCAGGGAGAGGGGGCATCCCAGAAGACTGCCAGCTCAGCTCCCCTGACCCTGCAAACCTGGATGAGGCGGGGGACCCAGGTGCCAGGCTTTCCCCCTCTTACCTCCTCTCCCTCTACAGGAACCTTCCCAGAGCCATCTTCATCTCCATCCCACTGGTCACATTTGTGTATGTCTTTGCCAATGTCGCTTATGTCACTGCAATGTCTCCACAGGAGCTACTGGCTTCAAATGCAGTTGCTGTGGTAAGAAATCAAACTCACAGCCCCTCAATCTGGGAATGTTGACATAGACTTGCCTGCTTAGTCTCCACTTGCTTTTCCCTGATTTGTGGAATTGGAAGTCTTCCCAAGTCCTCAGGGCAGAAACCTCATCTTCAAGTGCCCAGGAGCAAATTAACAGTGGATTGTGTATACCTAGAACAGCAGCAGACCTGGGTAGTTGCCGCAGAGACTGTATGGCCAGCAAAGCCAAATTATTTACTGTCTGACCCTTTATAGAAAAAGTCTGCCAACACCTGATCTAGGACACTTGAAATTCTAAATGGTGTGATTGTATACAGGAGACAAACTCCTTCTCAGAAAGGCATCATCTTGCCACAGGACTTGTCATTTCTCTCTGCCTTCGTTTCCTCCTCTGGAAATTGTGCAGCCTGACTCTTTCCCCCATCAGGTAGAAGTGTGTGCCAGTAAATGATTAGGAAGTAGGAGTGGTTTGTGCTCTCTGGGCAAAGAGAACTTGCAGGTGCCAAACACTGAGTTCCTTGATAACTAGGAAAGACCTATAAGCCATGCAGGGCTCTCATCTGGCTTTACCTGGGCTACACCCCACCCTGTCAGTGTCATCACATCTTATCTTTGAAATTGTAAAGAGGCCCTCTAGTGTCCTATGGCAGTCTCTTCCCACGACCACTAGCCTTCCCCAACAGGATGGCTATTCTAAACAATGTCTCCCCCATAATGTGTTGAATCAACTCTGTGCTTGGCTCAGAGAATATAGAAAAGGCTAGTCCCCAACATTTTATATTACTTCAGTATATGAGGACTTCACCACCTTTTCTTTCTCAGCCTACATGATGGCTTGTTCTTATCATTTTCCTCCCAGTATCATCTATGGTATTGTTTCAATGAATTTAGAAATTTTCACCCTATGAGCCAGGATTTTTCTCAATTTACAGATGGGGAAACTGAGGCTCAAAAATGAAGAACCTTGCTCAAGCCTCACAGCTCTTAATTGCTGGGCTAAGATTCAAACCCCAACCTGCCTGACTCACTAGTATAGAATGTACGTGAGGCTTGGACTCACACAGCTGGCCTCCAGTCCTGGCCTTCCACCTCCTGGGTGTGTGATCATGGGCAAGCTGCTTAATCGCTTTGTGCCTGAGTTTCCTCATCCCTAAAACAAGGATAAGAAATGTTAGTTCATTGCCATTATTATTAGTACTGTTCCTCTATCACCACCATACACTGTCCTCTGTTAATTAGCCCAAAACACTCATTAAATCTCTAGTGCAGTGATCACTGTGGAAAGCAGTAGTGTGGACAGGGTTAGGGCACAGATGCTGTCCCTCCTCTCCAGAATCTTGGGGGCGGATGGGAGGGAGAATTGCCAGAAGTGACCTGCAGGTGGGGGTTGTGACCTCTCCTTTTCTGTTCACCACCTTGTTTTCTCTCCCAGACTTTTGGAGAGAAGCTCCTAGGGGTCATGGCCTGGATCATGCCCATTTCTGTTGCACTGTCAACATTTGGAGGAGTCAATGGGTCCCTTTTCACTTCCTCCCGGTGAGTGCTGTCCAGGCCCTTTCTGGGCCAGGGCCACTGTGCTGTGTATATTGCTCTATGTGTATGTAGGGGGCTTGTCTCCGTCTGCAGGGGTCTGTGTGGGCTCCTGGGTGGTGACCTCATAGCGGGTCATTGCTCTGTGAGGGCTAGAGTGTGTCAGTTTGGACATGAAGGGGTATGTGCTGCTCACATGGTTACCTACAATGCGTGTAACTTCACAGGCAGTGGCAAGAATCCTGCCCCATCTCATTTCCGCAGGTGCAGAACGCTGAGGAGGCACAGTCCCAGGTCAGGGCACTGTGGCTGGCAACAGGACAAAGTCTGGGCTACAGCCCCAGAGCCCCTTTCCTCTCACCTAGGAATGGGCTGTGCTGACTAGAAAGGAGCTGGGTCTGAAAGGGACACAGAGGGACCTGTGCCTGGGCCTCTAGGCTGGCCTTCCATGAAGGTTGTGGGGTCAGACTGCAGGTGGAACATGGTCATCTGTGAGCCCCTGTGGGTGAAGGCTCCTCCCCATCTCAACAGACCTTAGGCTGTGGGAGGCCTTTACGTGGCCACCCATGAGACTTGGGTGGAGGAGATGAAATGAGAGGTGGGGACGAACCAGAGGAAAGCATTTGTCCAAAGCCATATCCCTGCCCCAAAACTCTCAGGGAGGCTAGAAGCACAAGTGGGCCCCAGAGTCTCCAGCTCCTGCCTCCATTCAACCGGGAATCTGGCCCTCCTGGGGTCCTTTCTTGCTGGCTCCAGAATGGGCCATTGAGGCCGGTAGATGCTGTATGATTTCCATCGGCATGGTGCAAAGGGTCCTCCCTGAGTTCTTAGAAAGTCCCCCTGCCTGCAGGGCACAATCCTACCTGAAACAGAGAGCAAAAGTCCAGAAGCTCAGCTGCTTCCAAATCCACCATCACACTACAGAGGAATTCCCATGAAATGACAAGGGGGTGCCATGTTTTCAGGACCCAGGGCAGGAAAGAGGGAGTATGGGTGTCCCTGCCCCCCAGGATCCTGTGACACTCACCCACAGCAACCTCGTGTGCGTGTTACACAGGAGCAGTGGTCACCTGGAGGCCCCAGCCAAGGGCGAACAGTGGAAGAGCAGTGACCCATGAGGCTCTCTGGGATCTGCTGGAGGAAAGTGACTGGCTGCAGTCACTGTAGAGTGGGGTTTGTCCCTCAGGCAGACCGAGCAGCTGTCTGCATGCATGTGGTATCGCTCTGTGTGCATGCAGGACACCGTGGCTCTGGTGTGCTCAACCTCTGATTCAGAGGCACAGCTCACCCACCAGGCCTCCTCTGCTCATCTTACCAGTTCCTTCCTTCCTCTTCCTTCCCTCCTCTTTCTTGTGGTTTGGGGCTCGGAAAGGATGGTCCTTCCTGAGGAGTAGGAGTGTGTGTGGGTGTGTGTCATGCTTAATGTCATTGTCTCCTCCATTGTCAACTAGTTGGGCAAAGATTGTCTCCTGTGAGCTTGACATTTGCAAATGCTGTTAGACTTGGACAATCACACTTGGTCTGACTGCATGTGGAGAAGGGATGTGAATGCAGGCCCCTGGCTATGTGCATGATGAGGCCCCCAGAGCACCTGGGGCACAGTTGAGCGCATGAGGCTGTACCCTAGAGGGATGCATCAAACTAGTGTGGCTGCATGAAACTAGTGACACTGGCCTAGGCAGTTGATGGCAACTGATGGTGAAGCATATGAGTACTTGAGACCATAACGGACTGCAGTGCTTCTGGCAGGCTGCTGCTGTTCAGCTCCACTCTTCCTCACACACAAATCACAAAGTAAGTGACAGTTATCTTCAGAACACCCAGAGAGTTGATTTTGTGCCTTTCTGTCCATCCCCATTACACCATCCCCTTCCTCTCACTCCTTGCACTCCTTTCCCTACAAAATCCTAGAGAAAAGAGAAAGTTGTGCATGGAGACCCTGCACTAATTCTCACTCATATGAAAATGACTTCTAGCAGCTTAGAGTATTCTCTTTTCTTTCCAAAGAGGTAAGAGGAAGAAGGGCTGCCTTTTATGTTAAAATTTCCCTTTTTAAAAATAGCTTTTAAACATCAATATTCTTGTCATGATACTGTACTGTCATTTTGCAATATGTTACCAATGGGGGAAACTGGGTGGATACCTAGGATCTCTCTGTATAATTTCTTACAACTGCATGTGAATCTACAATTATCTCAAAAAGTTTACTTTTTTTATATTCCAAAAATGATTTTTATTCTAATTATAAATTTGTCTGTTTTAGAATCTAAATTTTTTTCTGTAAAACCAAAGGAAGAAAATTTAAATTATTCAAAATCCCCCCACCCAGAGATAATCAGTTGGTATTTTAATGTTTTTACATGCCTGCAATACTTTTTAAATTAATTGGAATCATACAGTTTTCTATCTTGCTTTTTCCATTTAACAGTGTATAGTGAGCATTTCTCATGTTACCAGTTTTTTTCAAAAATGTTATAATGACTGCATAGTATTCCATCTTATAGATACACCATAATTTATGTCATCAACCTCCTACTTTCAGGCATTTAGTATATTTCCAATCTTTTTTTATGGTCAAAACATCCTTGTATGTACACCTTTCACTAACTGTTCATTTCCTTGGATGGCTTTTTGGGAATAGAATAAGTAGCTTAAGGGTATAAATGACATACAATAAAATACACAGCTCATAAGTGTTCAGGCTAATGAATTTCGACAGTTGTGGACAGGCATGTAATCACCACCTAAACAAGGTACAGAACATTTTCACATATCCCCGAGTTCCCACTGGTCACTTTCTAGTCCACCAGCCGTTCCTCGCCTCCTCAGAAGCAACTGCTGCCTGACCAGGATATGAATATTTTCAAGTCTTTTCCTGGACAGTTCAGCCCCCACGTGTCAGAGAACCTATATCCCCTGAGGATGGGAGAGGCACATTTTTAAAGGAATTCAGGCTTAAGGCAGGAGAGAAGCTGCTCCTGTAGTGCCCCAGCCTTGTGACAGACCCACAGAGGGACAGTGCAATCATCTATAACCCCCTGGACCACACTCAGGGTCTCCATGCACCCAGGATCCACCCATTTGTCCACTGGCTGCCTCTGGCCTGCCTGCACCTGCATTTGTGAACCTGGGCCCTGTGATTCATGAGCCAGAAGGTGTGCACGAAAAGGGAGGGACCTGGCTGGGAGGGGGATGGCCCTGTGTGAGCAGAAGATGGCTGTGGATGAGGGGCCCAGGCTGAGGAGGGAGCTTCCTCAGCTTGTCCATGAACCATCCCAGGCTGACCTGCTTTTCCTCTCTGCCAGGCTGTTCTTTGCTGGAGCCAGGGAGGGCCACCTTCCCAGCGTGTTGGCCATGATCCACGTGAAGCGCTGCACTCCAATCCCAGCCTTGCTTTTCACAGTAAGGGTCCCTCCTTGCACCAGCCCTATGCATACCCTCCCTCTTTGTGCTTGGGCTGATGGGAATTCACACTTCCCCCACACACTCCTGTCACCCTTTCGGCCTGCTCCTAGCATTCACCGAATCTTAGATAATGTGGCAAATGGTATACATGTACTTTATTAATATCACAAGATAGAGCAGGGAAAACCCCGAGTCCTAAAACAATGGCAGGCCCTCAGGCTGGCTCACTCCCATTCTCCCAGACTTTTGGGTCAGACTCAAATGACTGCCTTAAGACTCTATAACTTCACAAAGAAACTTCTCCTTTCTTGGCTCCCCCTCAGCACCTGTAGCCCACACGGTTGCAGCTTTGGGCCTCTCTTCCTGGCCAGTCACTGAACATCCCCACCCCTTGCCTCAGTCTTCTCACTCTGCCAGTCTCGTGGGAAAGATCACTGAAACAAATTCAGCATTAAGGGTACACCAAATACCAAAATTCATAAAGGAGGACTGGTAAACTGAAAACAGAGAAAATGAAACTTGGAATTGGGGAAAATGGGATAGAATGACCCTGGGGAGCAAAAAGAAGGAAGACAGACTTGTCCCCAGTTAGTCTTTTGGGTTATGTTTTTTCCTTCTGGATTCTGAATAAAACATGGAAATGAAAAAAAAAGAAAAAAAAACATTGAAATGTCTTTGGTCCACCAGAGAAGCAAATTAGACCAGGATAATAGAGCTCTTGGGAGTCAAGGGCATTCACTGTACATACAGCATTAGGGGAAATTTCAGAATGTTCAGATACAGACAGGATGAAGGTCATCTTGATTGGTAAATTGTGAAAGTGATTGGAGAAGGCTCAGTACTCCCAGTGGACCACGAACTTTTTTTCTGTTTGAACTGTTGGTGCAATAGTATGACCTCAAGGCAAGTACAGTAAGAATCTGGCTTTTTCATCTGTTAAAATCTCAGTTATTCCCGTCAGATCTCACAAGAGAACTGTCCTATTGGCCTTAACAAATTAGAAAAGGGGAAAAACATGGTTCTGAGAGAGCCACTGAGACAATTTTGAAGTTGAAAAGTGGACTGTCAAGAAACCCTCACGGGGATGTTGTGTAATGAGTTAATATTTGTAGAATGCTAAGAATAGGGTGTGGCACCTAGTGAGTGCTATATAACTGTTTTTAAAGAAAAGGAAGAAAAATAAATTAGGTGGTTCAACCAGTGGAAGAGGATGAGCACAAGAATAAAGCCTTAATCTGCAGCTAACAATCTTCCCTAAGGGATAAAAAAACAAATTAGCTTGATCTACAGTTAAGGAGGAAATGTAAATAAGACTAGGGCAGTCATAGAGCCAGGTGCCACCATGTGGCCAATCCATTTGTTTACAGACAATATCTGTCCTGATTGGTTAGGGCTGAGCAGTGGCCATAGCAGTGGCTAAGTATTTTGGTGATCACCTCTGCAATAAAACTTCCTGGCCACGAAGGTGCTAGCAATGTCCGGGGTTACTAGGGGAGGCTGTGGAGTTTCCATTGTGAGACATGCTTATTATAAAATGCTATCATCTGTAAACGCCACCTTCAGTCTCCAAATTCCCTTCTGTTCAATGATGAGCTTCTCCGCTCCCCACCCCAGTGCATCTCCACCCTGCTGATGCTGGTCACCAGTGACATATACACACTCATCAACTACGTGGGCTTCATCAACTACCTCTTCTACGGGGTCACAATTGCTGGACAGATAGTTCTTCGCTGGAAGAAGCCTGACATCCCCCGCCCCATCAAGGTTTGAAAAACCTCCCTTTGGGTTCCTCTCCCCATCCTCTACTGGTCCTAGCTGCAGCTCAGGTTTTTAAAGGACCTTGTCCTCAGCTGCTGACCACAGATCATTATCTCTATGATGCTAGCAGACACTTTGGGAAGAAAAGGCTACGTATGAATGGGGCAGCCATTTCCATTCTCCACTGGGAACAGGAGCAGAGCAAACAGCAGCTGGAAGAATAAGTTAGATTAAATATACTTTTATCACATTCCTTTGTCTCCTATGGCTCTGTCTTAAAACCTAGCTGATTTTCCAATGCTCCCTTACCTCTCAGCATTTCCTTGGACCCTCTAGTCTGGCCAGTCTCCTCCCTGTCCCTCCAAATAGCTGGGTTCACTTGTGTTATGTCTCCTTCCCAGAATGAGTTTCTCTCTGCCATCTGTCTATCCAAATTCTAACCACTTTCACATGGCCCTCAAGTACTTCCTCTTCCTTGAAGCTTTCCAGTCTATTCCAGCCCTCTGTGAGCCTCCCTTTTTAAACTACTGTGGCCTATGCGAGTAGGGTACCCAGTGAACCTATTGATCGCTGCAGGAAATAACTTTGTGATGGGAATGGATGGGATTGCTCAGAATACAATATGAGAGCACCACAGGTTCTCCTGAAAATGAGAAGAAAAGAGAATAGCCCTGAGCTACTTGAGCAGTCCTACTCTGGAAACAGAGGGAGACTAGATGCTTCCAAAAGATACTTGCAGCTGAGGAACTGAGGGCTCCCCAAATCTGTTTTCCACTGATACTTGCCTACCAGTCTTAGAAAGTCTCCTAGAGGGAAGAGGAGGTACAAGAACCCCATCACCCCACCACATGCGCACCCTCTAAGAGGAGAGGACAGGAGGAGAAAGGCAGCTGAGTCTAGCGTCTTGAGGAGGACTCTGCTAGGAACTCCCACCTGTGGTCCACAACAAGGGCTAACACCCAGATCTTTGGTGCTTCTTTCTGAGTAAAGTCAAGGCCCCAGACTGCCTTACACTATACTAGGTTTCCTGCTTTCTCGGGTCATGGCAGATTTTCCTTCTCAAATTCCTTGAGAGGAACTGGTCCTGGCAAGAGGGACAGACATTTGCCGCTTGCCCAGAGGAGGGCCCTGCCTAGAAGTGGACCAGGGGCAGAGTGCCTGACTGACCTAGGTCATTTTCTTCTTGCCCCTCGTTCATCGCCTCACCTCTTCTCTACCCGGGGACCTCAGCAAATACATACCAATATACCGGCAAGCTTATGAATCTCCACGGGCTTCTCTGGCTGCCACAGGCTATAGGCTTTGTTTGGTCCCATATGGGAGGGATCCCATATAAGGGTCATCTCTCACCAGTCCCCTCCTCTTCCTGTCCCACTGCCCAAGTTCACCCACGTTTGTTAACATAGCACTTGCTCTATCAGAGCTCAGGGTATGGGAGCCACAGAGCTGAGTGGAGCCCAGCCTTTGCCCTCAACAATGCTTCTCTGTGGGTGGAGAAGAGGAAGGAAGCCTTGCTCCTGGGGGCCGTGGGGTTCACACAGCTAACAGTGCCTCTGCTCTGCAGATCAACCTGCTGTTCCCCATCATCTACTTGCTGTTCTGGGCCTTCCTGCTGGTCTTCAGCCTGTGGTCAGAGCCTGTGGTGTGTGGCATCGGCCTGGCCATCATGCTGACAGGAGTTCCTGTCTATTTCCTGGGTGTTTACTGGCAACACAAGCCCAAATGTTTCAACGACTTCATTGGTGAGTTACTGACAGTCCTGGGTGGCTAGAGGGCCTCCTGGTCAGGAACAGAATGATCAACAGAGCAGCAGGGCAACCCCGGCAGCATCAGGAGGCCTGGGCTGGTCCAAGGAGCCCTACAGAAGGAGACAGGGCCAAGCCACCCCAGACACTGCTGAAAGAGCAGCTGTTCCCACCAGGCCTTAGACCCTCAAAAACAGGCCATTTGACAGCTGTCCTTCAGGAGCTGTCTTAGGCGAAGACCGGTGGAGACCCTGGAATTTGTGGTCAACAGGCCTGGGGAAGCTAGAGGATTAGGGCTCTGATGGGAAGGGGTAGTGGGCAAGCAGGCCACCCAGAGACACAGGAGGAGATGAGGTGGTCAGCTCCCAGAAAGGGAGTCTCCCACAGGCCCTGGCGGCTCTGCTGGAAGCAAAACCAGGCACAGGAGAGCTGGGAAGGGCCATGGCCTGGTTGGCTGGGTTGGTGGGGCACTCAGCACTGCCCTGGTTTCTGTGTGCCCGCCTCCTGCAGAGATGCTAACCCTGGTGAGCCAGAAGATGTGTGTGGTGGTGTACCCCGAGGCGGATGGAAGCTCGGGGACAGAGCACAGAAATGGGCACATGGAGGAGCAGTGGCAGCCTATCTACCAGCCCACTGCCTCCAAGGTCAAGGATGCTGTGGAGCAGGCCCAGCCCTGAGGACCACCATCGCCTCTCAGCTGGCTTCTCCCCCATCGCCCCTTTCTGCCCTCCTGCCCTGCCTGGGTCCCCTAACACACACACACATACCTCTGCTTCTCTCAAGCAGTAGCAGGACCTGGGTGCTGGTGGTGAGGAACCATAAACAGACACGTTTGTACCTAAAGAACCAGCCTCTCGCTCCCAGGCCTGTCCCAAAGCCCCCACCAGAGCTGCTCTGAGCTGCAGGAGGAGAGGAGCTGTGGGAAGCCCTGCAGGGCTCTCCCTCGGGGCCCACACCCCATGCCTCCTGAGGAACCTGAGTTCAGTACTGCCTTCCCTCCGCTTCCTGAACCTGCAGGAGGCCTCAGCTCAGAGAAAAGTGGAAACAGCAGTGAGTCAATTTGGGAGGGACCCACTTGAGCAAATATGTCACCATTAAAGGTCAGCTGGAGGGACCTGAATCCCCCTCCCTTCACCAGGGACCCAAGCAATTGGAAAGGATGCTTCCCTCTGCTCTCTTGCCTACCCCTCCCCACCATACCTCCACCCCTCTCCACCCCCAGCCTGGGCTCCCTGTCCAGAGTAAGGTTCCTGTCAGGACACCGCCTTCTGACTGAGCTAAGGACCAATGAGCAGGAGAACTGCCCCCTCCCCCCACCCCCAGGCCAGGCCTTTGGAGCAGACTGGGAAAGGCTCAGATTGCAGAAACTCAGCCCTGTCCCTGTCTCCTGCATCCTGCCCCCAACTTGGTGCCAAAGCTTCCTGAAGCCAGAAAGCTTATTTTCAATGTAGTAGGCATTTCTCTCCTAATGACAAAGCTGTTCAGCATCTCCTCCCTCCCCACCCCTGTGGGAGGAGCAGCCCCTCCTTATCCTTGCGGCTGTGCCCCACTAACACCCCGACAGAACCAGCACTGCCAGTGCCCCCATCATGCCCTTTGCCCCCTCTCTCGACCTTGGCTCTACTGCTAAATGGCTAACCGGGTGTGAAATCCTCCCAAGCCCTTCAGGCCTGAAACCCGAGCCAAATCAGCCTTAAGTCACCTCCCATCCAAGAATGGGACCTAAAAATATGCCCTTATTTCTAAGCCTCAGGACAGACCTGGTATGAAAAGCCTTCCCGGGAAGGAGGGTGCTTCCCACCCCCCAGAGGTGCCCATCCATAACCTCAGAGACAGAGCAGAGGATATCTTCTGAAGGCCAGGTCCTCTCCTGCACCCAACCCACTCAGATAAACCTCTCTTTCTGGTCCCACCACTGTCCGGTCTTTGGACAGCCTCTAGGGCAGGATGAGCAGGCAGGGACAGATGGCACCCACTTTGGAGACCCTCAGGAAAGCCCGTTCTCTGTGGTATGTGGGCTTCCGGCCACCCTGCAGGCAGAGGTCACCTTCCGCCTTGCTCCAAAGGAGGTCACAGTGTTTGCCCTGGGCCCTGAGCCTTCCTCCACACCTGTGAGGCTGAGGACTAGAACCCCTTTGTCCCAAAGCAGGAGTCCCCCTAAGCCCAACTGCCCAACCCTTCTGTTTAAACGAGACACTCAGGCAGCCCTCATGGCTCCAGTGTCCCAGCTTCCTGTGCCGGACCCTGTGGGGGTGAGATGTGGTCCCTTAAGAGTGGACTCCAAGCAGGGTGGGCTGGCCCCTGGAGAGCCAGGGGACCATCCTCTTGTTCCCTCTTCTCATTCCTCCCAACTCCATCCCTCCTTCAGTTGTTTTTGTCTGGGGTTTTTGGTTTTGTTTTGGTTTTTTTGTAAAGTGGATGCCTTACTTTTTGGATAAATATTTTTGAAGTCGGCATTTCTATTTCTTTTGGATTTTTTAAATGTTGATTTGTCTTGGGCGGGAGGGGTTGAGTTATACCTGGATAATAATCTTCTGTCTTTGAGTTAGTTTAGGTACAGAGTTTTTTTGCTTGTTTTGTGGAGGGTTTTTTTTCTTTTGATTTATTAAAATTTTAAATGGAAATCAAATTGGTGGTGGTGATTATTCAATGACCTTCTGAAACCAAGGCTCTAGGCATTTCCTCTCTGTGTCAGTTCTGCAAGATGACATTCACAAAGGCCCTTGCTCTGTCCTAGGGACCCAGTGCCAGCACAGTCAAACAGCTACCTCTTGCTTTGAGCCAAAAACTTTCTCATTTCTCCCATGAAGTTGCCAAGTGTTACTGAGTTCCTGCTCTGTGCACCGTACTGAGAGCTGCGCGCTGGCTGGGAAGAGGGGACCATGGATGACAGAAAGCACAAAGCTGAGTGGAAGGAGGCAAAAAGGCAGCTGCAGCCAAGTAGGAAAGGAAGGGCCAGGCGGAGCCTGCAGAGAGACACCAGGGGGACTAAAGAGAGCATTCAGCCAGGCCCCAGGGACTTGATGGAGGGACTTGGAAGTAAGGCAGGGTCCCCTCATCTGCACAGAGCCATCCAAAAGGAAGATATCCAGGTGGAAGTTGAAAGGGAAAGAGGGGATATGAACTCAACAGTCCAAGCAGGTTTACTGCTGAACCTGAGGGGCACCCCTCTGTCCTGGCCAGCAAAACAAAGGAAAGAGGGTCTCTAACAGGTCAAGAGGCTTTTTATGGCCAGGGTTTTTGGCAGGCTCTTTGAGAGGAGGGGTTAGGGAAAAGGTGGGCTTGTAGCTTGCTGACGTGTCCTCTGGAGAATTCTTGCAGCTTAGGTAAGATGACACCTAGGTCTTTCTGAGATGGCGGGTGGGCTTATTTGAAAGGCTGTACTCAAGTCCAGATTCTATCAGAAGTCTAGGAGGACTAGTCTAGGACAAAGGCGGAAGCAGTAGAGGTGGGACAAATACCTCCTGGTGCTTGTGTTTAATTGCTGGAGGAAGTTGACAGAACTAGACCCAGTCCTCACTTGGAGTCCTTTGTGGGCAGCCCTCCCCCTTTGTCCCAGGCCTCCTGGGACAGCATCATTCCAGAGCCAGCATCTCCAACAGCCATGGGGTGGGCTGTGGATGGGGATGGGAGGTAGGGGTGTTAAAACATCACCCTCCTCCATCTGGGACACCATAAGGACACAGGCAGGCAACATACCTCTGCTCCCAGTCCTGGCCTGGCCCCAACACTCCTGCTTTGTGGCTGGGATTCTTCTAGACTGGGGCTGGAGGCTTGCATTCACAGGGTCACAGACACTTGCTCTTGAGTCCCAGATCAGCCATTCAACAGCTGTCCTTGGGCAAGTCACTTAACCAATTTAGCACTTGGAGATAAAGAAAAGAAAAAAGAGGGCTGAACCTAATCTCAAAGGGTTCCTCAATCTTCCAGCCCAAGGCTGTCCCAAAAGAGCTAGGACAAACCTTGCTAGATACCAGTCTTAATACAACATGCTGTTCTCCAGGCCTCATATCCTCCCTTTGAGGCCCCCTCTTCTCCCATACACATGCTTTCCCTTTCCCTGCACTGCCCCAGGCCTCCTCCCTGCCACCTCACTCCAACAAATCTGGCCCTCCCCAGTTCCCCCTCACCCGTGGAGACACTTGTCCCCTCTCTCTCTGTAAGGTGACACTTGCTGATCTTTTCAACATGCTCAAATGGGCAAATGTGGGTCTCCTCCTGGGCAACATGCATTTACCCTGTCTTAACCCCATCAGTCACCTTAATGCTAGGAATTCAGATGCTCTGACCTTAGAGAATTTGGGAGCTTTTTGGAGGCTACTGAAATTGTAGCTGCTTAGGCATTCATTTGTTAATAGAGTCATACAACACATCTTATAATCACTGTGTCGAAAGATTTTGCTATAGCTGTGACAATAGCAAACTTATTCCTGAATTTTCCAAGTGAGCACAAACTTCAAATATTTTGTTCCATTATCTTCATAAGATGAGTCATAGATGTCAATCTTCCTGTCCTTATTTTTAATTCAGGCAATATAGTCATCACAACTAAAAAGGTCCAAAAAATACACCTTCCAGGAGCAAACAGTCTGTGGGGGAGAGAAGGCAAGAATGCACATGGCACAAATGTGGGCACTTCACAGCTTCACTAACTGTCCACTCCAGCTGGGCTGTGGGCTGCCACAGGCCAAAGCTGAACCTGCCAGACCCCCGAGCCTGCACAGGGCTCAAAAATGCTTGTCAGATTGAGGAATTAGATGAAGCTGCAGATACTGTCTGCTTAAGAGACACACATAAACTGCAAAGGGGCAGTCAGAGGAAGGGTAGCAGAAGACTGAGTGAGACCAGTTGCTTTCCATATGTTATCATTCAAAGTTCAATTAACCTGACAAAAGAGACATTACTCTGCCATTTTACAAGTAAGATTAAGATATTTGCCGAAAGTTGCCAGCTGGTGACACAGGAGGGATTTAAACCCAGTTCTCCCTGACACTGTACCACCAGGCTTGGCGTCCTCCCTGTTGGAAAGACTTAGGGAAGGAGGACTTTGAACTAAGGCCGGTTACAGAGCCACTGAGATAATACCCATGCATTGTTTCAATTCAGGCAAACAGGGAGCAACAGCAGAGGCAAGGAGAGAAATCCTGCTGAGCAGGGAGAGCTCCTGAGCAGCTACACAGAGCCCCAAATCCCCTGGCCCTGGTCAGGCACTGCCCGCCCCACCCCCTTCCCGTCCAGCACCCCCTCCTCCCCTGCCCTGGCATCCAGAGGCCCGCTGCCCCCTCCAAGTCCCTTGGTTACTGGGAAACACTGATGTCAGTGCGGCAGCCAGCAGCGTCAGCTACCAGCCTGAGTGGTGAGGGGCTGAGATCACTTATCTCCCTGCCGCCGAGCAGCGTCCCAATTTTCTAATTTCCTGTGCTCTGTTTGCACACCTCCCTGCTCCCTCCATCCCGGGTCGCCCACTCCTGACGCAGGCCCCGTCCGGAGGTGGCTGACGAGGAGAAAGGGGGTACGAGTAACGGGGCCCCCCTGTCCCTATCCCTTCAGGCTTGAGGCTTTCAAGAACTAGTGCACTGCCCTTTCCCCCAAGATCAATGTATGGGGATCCCCCACATCCTTGGATGACCTTTCGGCCTTTCATTCAGTCTTGTTTTCCTTGTATTAGGCGGAGATAAAAACACCATCTGTCTTGCTTACCTTCCTACTTAATTCTCAGGGAAATAAATGGTCAGCATGGAAAAAGGTATGTTTCAGTGATTAAAAAGCGTAACACCAGAAAATTCCAGGCCTTGACCATCATGAGTTTCCCAGTCACGGAGGGGCAGAATTTCTCCTCATTGAGACAAGGCCCTGGCCCCAGGCCTCTCGGCTTGCCCGCTCTCCCAGTAACCGCTCTGCGAGCCCCTGCCCCGCCATGTTTCCTCTTCCTCCTTCGCAGGTCCCGCTGCAGTTTGCTCTTGCCAGGTGGCGGCAGGCTGCCCCCTGCCGGCCACCCGATTCTCCACGACAGCAGCCCCCTCAGGCCCCAAACTTTGCGTCAATATTGCCACCTGGTGGTAAACAGAGGTACCGCCACCAAGCTGAAGTAGCTCAGCTCTGGTACCTATTTGGCACAAGATTCTTTGAAATTGGGAGAAGGCAGAAATCTCCCCAGCTGGTTCCTGAGATCTGTCTCCCGGATGCACACAGATCTTCCCAAGCCAGGTCAGAACTTTCATAGGAAATACCTGTGACTGTGCACAGAAAGTTCTTGGGGCAGGTGTAGGGATAGGGAGAGAGGGAGGAAGGAGGATGCCAGCTAGAGGAATAGCTTGCCTGACTTGTAGGCAGTCCTGTCTGCATTTGCACACTTCATTTTAGCGTTCAATGGCACACACTCCGCTCTGTATTTGCCCCACTGTGGCCCTTCGTGTGCCGCCGGATCTATAAAATCTGGCCTCCACAGGGCACTCACAGCATGTGCTGATGATAAGAGCCAGTATACATTTCTACATGTCCTTTCCTTCTCACTGGGCCTATAGTCCCTTCTGCAGATGAAATTCAACAGGTCAAAGCAGGGCCAGAGCTGGTGCCTCTCCCAGGTCGGTGTGGGGAGTTCCCAGAGGAAAAAGGGAAGGGAGAGGGGGCCCAGCAAGAGACCAGAAGTTCAGAGAGCAAGCCTTGGGTTTCTCCTGGAGACCCTGAAAGGGAGCCCCAGGAAGAGGTGATGACAAAAGACAAGGCTTCTCAAGCTTCACAAGAGGAAGTGGACCCAAGAGACACGCATCAAGGTCAGAGAAGGGCCATGCAGAAGGAAAGACAGCAAACGGAGCTGCAGCCAGCACCGAGCTGGGCACAGGAAACAGGGCAGAGCCTCAGGACGCAGTCTGGCCCCACAAAGCAGCTGGAAGAGAGGTGCTGGAGCCACCAGAGGTGTACAGCTAACTGCTCCTGGGGCAGCAGCCTGACTGGGCCTGGGGCACAGGGCCTGAGTCCTGACCAGGCCAAGCCTGCAATCAAGGACAGTGTTAGCTATTAGAGCTGCCCAGGGCTGGAAACCCATGGGCTATTGCCCAGACCCCATGCAAAAACCTAGCAAAGGAGCATGCTCTGTACCACAATACGGCCCCTGTGGATGGCTTGATCCCAGAACCTACCACTACTTCCTAAACCCCTCAAACAACACCCCTGGCCTGCACCCTGGAGAATGCCCTGGGAGGTGGGGCTACAAAAGGAACTGACAGCCCCTGGGGGTAGGTGGAGCCCAGCCCTGCAGGGGGCAGAGAGAGAGGCGTGTCAAGGGAGGAGCTCAGATCAGGCTTGGGGGTCGGCACTGGGAAAGGGTTTTCTATGTTCATTCTGACTTGGCACCTCATTCTGCACAGAACTTTTTGGATATCGGAGGGAGGAAGACACTCAGTGTGAGGTGGTGTCCTCAGTGAAGACTCTGGAAGCCCGTGGACTCAGCGGGGAGACAAGAGGCATTCCCAGCAGCATCAGCTCCTGGGCATTTCAGAACCCTGGCTTGGACCCCGACCAAAGAGGGCCCTCAACTAACTGCTAAATAGGCCAGAGACCCCAGCTCTCCAAGGCCTGCATCCCTCCGTCCAGGGCGCGCCCTGCCCCTCCCTGAGTCACCCAGGGAGAGAGGGGGAAAAAAGGGAAGAGAAAAGAGGCATTGGCTACAGAGGAAGGAAAAGGAAACAGCAGAGGAGGGAGGAGAGAGGCCACGCAGGAGTGGGTGACAGAGGAGGTCAGAGAGGGAAGATCTAGGGCAGATCAGGGCAGAGGGAGATAGAGAGAGGGCAGGCCAGCATCCCAAAGGGTGCCCCAAGAGCAAGCGGTGGGGGCGGGGAGCAGAGGGGGCGGGCCGGCCATGTCCCACGGGACCTACTACGAGTGTGAGCCCCGGGCCGGCCAGCAGCCACTCGAATTCTCCGGGGCCCGAGCCGGGCCTGGGGAACTGGGGGACATGTGTGACCATGAGGCCTCCATCGACCTCTCCGCCTACATTGAGTCTGGGGAGGAGCAGCTCCTCTCTGACCTCTTCGCTGTGAAACCGGCACCTGAGGCCCGAGGCCTTAAGGGACCCGGAACCCCCGCCTTCCCCCACTACCTGCCGCCTGACCCGAGACCCTTCGCCTACCCCCCACATACCTTCGGACCCGAAAGAAAGGCACTGGGGCCTGGCATCTACAGCAGCCCAGGGAGCTACGACCCCAGGGCTGTGGCCGTGAAGGAGGAGCCTCGGGGGCCAGAGTGCAGCCGGGGGACCAGCCGTGGCAGCTACAATCCTCTGCAGTACCAAGTGGCACACTGTGGGCAGACGGCCATGCACCTGCCCCCAGCCCTGGCAGCACCCAGCCAGCCTCTGCGTGTCCTCAAGGTAAGAGCAGGCCAGTTCTCTTCCCTGCCACCCTGACTGGAGAGAGGCCCCTGTGGATGGAGGATCTCCAAGCTCCCCTCTTAGGCTAATGGGTCTTCATACTCCTCTGTGAAACCGATCTATCCCAAAGTCTTCTGTGCTCACCAGCCAACCATGGGTGGGTGGCGAACCCCTCTTTGCCTCCCTGTGAATTCATTCCCACCTGAACCTCACTATGTGGCTGGAACCTGACAAGACTGTGACCCCTGTGGCCAGCTGACTGCCCTGACCTCAGGACCCCACCAGCTTCACTGCTGCCTTCCAGCCCCTTCCTCTCATTTTTTCCCCCCGCTTCTAGAAAAGGAAATGCCTGGCAATTGTAGAACTAGAGACTCAAGATAGATGGAGGGAGAGTGTCCTCAGGCAGTGTGGGAACATGAAAGGGAGTTTTGGTCAGAGCGGAGGACCTTCTGTATCTGGCAGGGCAATGGCTGTTCTGACGAGAAGCCAAGAGCTGGCTCTGAATCCCAGATCCCTTTGCTGCCCAAGTGTACTCTGGCTCTGGGATTCCTGCCCTGCCCCACTCTGCTTCCCAGCCAACCCTCACCTCTTCCCGCTGTGCCCTCCCCTCCAGGCCCCTTTGGCAGCCACTGCGCCCCCCTGCAGCCCCCTCCTCAAGGTGCCCTCCCCAGCTGGTCCCTCTCACAAGGGCAAGAAGGCAGTGAACAAAGACAGCCTGGAGTACCGGCTGCGGCGGGAGCGGAACAACATCGCAGTGCGCAAGAGCCGGGACAAGGCCAAGAGGCGCATCCTGGAGACGCAGCAGAAGGTGCTGGAGTACATGGCAGAGAATGAGCGCCTCCGCAGCCGCGTGGAGCAGCTGACCCAGGAGCTGGACACACTTCGAAACCTCTTCCGCCAGATCCCTGAGGCTGCCAACCTCATCAAGGGCGTGGGGGGCTGCAGCTGAGCCTGGCTGGCAAACTGTGTCACCAGCCCCCACAACCCCAGCTAAGCCTGGGGATTCCCACCCTGCTCTAGGGCCCCTCACAGGCCAAGCCTAAGACACGGACCATGGACAAATGGCAGCAGGTGGAGAGAGAGGAGGGCAGGCCCCAGCATAATGATTCTGTGGCTGAATAAAATTGCTCTCTGACTCAGTGCCAAGACTGTACACTGGGCCTGTGTGTGTGTGTGTGTGTGTGTGTGTGTGTGTGTGTGTTTGCATGGGTGGCTTGGGGGGCTCCAAGAACATGTATGTAGCTGGATCTACATACCTGTGGATACCATGCCCAAATGAATATCTGAGAATACAGACAGCTGTCTGCAGCTCCCCCCAACACACCACACGGCCAGAGGGCCAGGCAGGGATCGGCTGTCACTCTGTTCTGGGCTCCCCCTGCCCCCACACTGGCCCACGCTGTTCTGGACATTGAAGGCACCCCACCCCCTGACCTCCCAGGACCTAATACAGCCTCTGGACCTCTCCTAAGAGAACTCTGTGCCTTGTAGAGAGATCCCAGCACCACCCAGTCCCTTATGCCCAGGCCTGCTGACCCCAGCCCTGCTTTCTCTCACCTCAAGGTATAGGTCTGGGAGCTCCAGCCCAGGAGACCAAAGAAAAATTCCAGATGGTTCTGCCCTATTTATGGTCCCTTAGCTGTTGATCCAGGACTTAACTCCTTCTCTCCAGTTCCACAGTTCTGGCCTACCAAACTGACACCCTCCATGGCTCCCACCCACCCACTGCCTTCTTTGTCCCTCATTCCCTGGGGCCTGGGTTCCCTAAAGCAGGACACTCCAAGTGCTTGAGGGGGGAATCTGTTGGGAAAGAACTTGAGGCCTGTTTGTACATGAGAAAGTCATAAGGAAGACAGCAGCAGAACCCCATGTGCAAAGCATTTTCTGTTTCTCAGAACTCAAGCCCGCAAGTCAACAGTGCAGTGCTGTTGAGCTGCCATTTGAATCTCCCTCTTGTACTTACTAGCTGTGTTGCTTTCAGCCAGTTACTTTTCTCTGTTCCTCAGTTTCCTCATCTGCAAAATGTGAGTGGTACCAGTACCCATTTCTTAGTGTTGTTATGTTCATAGATAAACAGGGTCTGGCACCTGGTAAGCATGAATATTCATTACTCAACTGAAATGACCTCAGAGATCTCATCAAAACTTCTCATTTTGCAGGTGAGGAAACTGAGGCCTCAGAGAAGGAAAGGGACTTACCCAGAGTTATGGTTGGCTAGCGGCAGAACCAAAGTGAACTCCGTGAGATCACAGATCTCAAGCAATGTGGGAAGAGACCTCAAGAGATCATCTGGTGGGCTTTGCCCTCAGACAAGCAAGATAGTGGGAGCCACATTTTATAGATAAAGCAGTTGAGGGCCAGAGGGGATAAGAGACATTCTCCTGAAGCTCACTTAGTACCTTTGTTGTCTTGGCACAAGGCACCTGTCTCTCTGCTCTGTGCTCACACCTTCCCACCAGAGGTGTATAGCAGGGAGCAGGGCACACAAATCCCAGTCAGTAACTAATCGGGGATTGCCTCCAAGAGCCAGAGGCACAGGGCACAGTGCAGGCTCGCTAAAGCCTCTGCTAGGCCAATGACTCTGTAGGCTGCTGCCGAGGAGGCCTGAGTGAGACGGCAAGGAAGAATGCTCTGAGAGAGAGAGACGGGCCTGGCCCCTCACATCACCTCCTGCTCTTCCTCCCTGTCTCTCTCTTCCATCCCCAGATCCATGTATGTCAGAGCCTTCCCCCATCTTGGGCATCCATGCGCACCATGCCTGCCTCTCCCAGAGCGCTAGCCCTTTCCTGCCTTGGCCTCCGTGCCTCTCAGCCACCATCTCTCCTGTTCCTGTGCCCTGGGACCCGTCCCTGGTTTGGACAGACAGTTCTGAACCTCGCTAGATGGTCCACCTCCCTCACCCTCCCGGGCTTCCCGAGTTTGCAAGGGGAGGTGCCAGTGTCTGCAGATGCCTGGGAGAATCCTGTGCCTTCCTTTCAGCCCAGGGGGACAGGTTGCATAAGGGGGGTTTGTACAGAACATGGTGAGTGACTCAACCTCCGGATTTCCTTCTCTCAGCTTAAGACCACTGCCCCTTGACTTATTTTCCAGGTTCCCGGGTAGGTGGTGGGGCCTGGGGTGCTTCAACAGCAGCCCCAAGCTTCTTTCCCCAGCTCTGACCTGTGTCTCTTCCCAGCCTCCATGTTCCCTGGGCTCCTCAGGATGGAGACCTGGCGCCAGGTGTGGAGGAGGGCCCCAGCCTCACTTCAGGGCACAAGCACACCTGGTCCCTCTGCGATGCAGCGTGGTAAGCCAGCCCCAGTCCTCTGTGGCACATCATGTCCCAGGCAGATGACAGGTAGCCAGAAGTCACACTTGCTGAGTGAGGCTTTTAACCTGACCTCAGCTGGTTTGGGCCAAAGTGACTTATTTGACAATACTTGTTGAGCATCTTTCCTGTGCCAGGCCCTTGACAGGTGCCAAGAACTGGCGGCCAAGACAAACCCAGCTCTCAGCTGAAGGGGTGGAAAGAAAAAGGCAACAAGCAAGGGTGCTGAAAGTCTTCCTTTGCCCTCCAGATCCTCTCCCTTGGTCATCCCACGGTGTGCCAGGCATGGCAGGAGGCTGGGGGTGCCGCAGGAGAGGGGGCCAGGTGCTCATCCCCCAAGGCCCTCCCCTCTCAGACAGGTGTTCACAGCTCCGTCTCCCAATCTGGGGGACCCCTGCCAGCCCAGGTTCTCCTGCTCTCCTTGCTGCTTCCCCTTCATCCTTGCTCATCACCTCTCTCGAAAGCACCTTCATTGAATTCTTGAAATTACTCCATCTGAAGATGGAACAAACAAGCAGGAAGGCAGGCTTTGGAGGCAGGAGTGGTCAGACAAGGCCTCTCTGAGGAGGTGACATGAAGTTAAACCTAAAAAAACTGTGAGGAGGCAGATGTGCCAAACTGGGGGCAAGGGTGAGCAGGGGGGAGAGCAAATGCACAGGCCCTAAGGTGTCCTGATGACCCAGAAAAAGAAAGGAAGCTGTGGGAGGCAGGCTGAATGGAGAGAAGGAAGAGAGGATAAGTAAGAAAAACACCTCCCTCCCACCAGAACGGGGTTGTAAATGACTCCTTTCATTCCCTGTGCCAGGGAGGACAGTAGGTAGGATGGGTTGGAGAGCAGCCCCCCAGCCCCTCCTTCCACCTGCCACTGGGAAAGGAGCCAGCTGGAAGGAGGGGCCCTGAAGAGAGGCACTAGCCCTAGGGACAACTGGAAAACCAGCAAATCAAGGTCCAACCGGCACATACATGCACTCCCATGCTTTAGGATCCACGGCTGGAGCCACTTTTCCTTACTGAATAAAACTGGGACCAGGATGAGAGTCCAGAGCTGAGAGACAGGGTCTCAGGCCCAGGGAAACAGCTCAGAAGGGAAGTTGTTTGGAGATACCATGAAAGGGGAGGAAGCTGCTCAAGGTGAGCCTGCCAAGGTCAGTCCCCAGCGGTGGCTGCTTGTGAAAGCCACTGCCCCTGCTGGGTGCACACCTCCTCACCCCATCCCCCACGGATTGCCACACTCCTGGGCCCCCAGGGCCCCCATCCCGGTGTTGCAAGATCCCGGTTAGGGTTGTGGGAGTGGAAAGGGGCCTCTTACCTCCCCCCCATCCCCTGCCCCAAGCCAGCGAGGGGACTTTGGGACGAGAGGCTGTATAGGAGATGCTGAGGCAACAGTAGCTAGGCTGGCTGAGCTCCTGTGTGTCTCCTCTCTGGCAGGCCAGTCACTTCCCGTCACCCTTGCTGGCTCCCAGCAGGCAGACCTCCCCTCTCAAGACTCAGCCTGAACTGCTCCAACGTGCGAATGGTCCAACCTGACAGGACTCCTAGCTAGCCTCAGTTGACTGGCCTTTATAAGCAGGCCTGGCCTGGCCCTACGAAAACTTCAGTAACCCATAAGTAATTCCCTGAGGCAGCCCCCCATGGGGAGATGGTGGGTATTTTCAGGGGAAAATGACTCCAGTTCTGACTTCCGGGAGCAGCGGAAGGGTCCTAGGGATTGGGAAAATTAAGGCTTCCTGGTAGAGAGAGACCCACCTGCACACCTGTCTCCTCCCCTTCTCTTTTAGAGGGACCTGAGGGAGGTAGAGGCAAGCCATACATAGATTGGAGCCCCCTGCTCCACAATCCAAGGTTTGCCCTGAAGCCCCAAGCTGTCGCCCCACACTGAGCACTGTCGCCCTGGCCCGGCCACCCAACCCCGCTGCAATCGGGACGGTTTGCAAAACGCCTGCTGGCTCCCGCTTTGTCACCATCTGAGGTTAGGGCTGCACTTGGGAGATAAGCCCAGGCCCCACCCGCTGTCCAGAGTGAGACTGCTGGCCTGCTGCAATCGGGACGGTTTGCAAAACCCCTGCTGGCTCCCGCTCTGTCACCATCTGAGGTTAGGGCTGCACCCCAAGATAAAGTCTAGCCCCGCCCACCAGCTCTGCCTTCCAGCCTCACAGGCAGCATGGCCAAGGGACAGAGCTCCTGGAAGCCCACTCAGGGTCCGGAAGCCTTACTCAGAACCAGTGTGAAGACCCCTTCTGCCTGGCCCGTTCTCACCTCATCTCCCCTTCATCCCTCACCTGGCCTTTGCACACCATTACCATCCTTTTCCCTCACTCTCCATCTGCTCTCCTTCCCTTCCATCTCCATCGTCCTCCTCCCTCTCCCACAGCTCCCCTCTGCTTCCCATACACTTGTTCATGTACTCACTTGCTCTAAAAACATCTACTCCTGGCCAGGCCCTTTGCTTGTTACAGGAACTAGGGGATAAACAGTCCCTGCCCTGGTGAGACTTGCAGATTTATGAGAGGGACAGGCACGCCTAGTATAACAAATAAAAGGATAATTCTAAATTGTGGGCAGAGCTGTGTAGCAAAAGTAAAGGGGTGACTGGGACGGAGATTAACAAGGGCACTCAATTTAAATGTGCCCTTTTATTTAAAAAGTGGCATAAGCAGACATTTCAAAGGTGAGTAGAAGTCACACTGGCAAAAAACTGGGAGTTCCCAGCCCCAAGCAGGTCCTTCCCAGCCACTGACAAAGGTTGGGGTTGGGGGTGCAGACTAGACCCAGGGGAGAGATGAGGAAAGAGGGGCTGATGCCAGACCTCACTCAAATGGGATCCAGAACATCAGAGGGAGGAACTACCTCCCAAAGGAAGCAGACACACACAGGTCTGCAGCAGGCTGAGGCTGGTCCTGTCTGATGGTTTCTATTTAATGACTTCTGCTTTCATCATGAAAGAGGTGACTGCAAGTGACTGAACAGGTGTATCTGAGCAGGAGGCTTGAAGGTGTAAAATCCCAGTTGCTGAGAGCAGAAGAGGGAGTTGGGATGTCTGATTTGGGAGTGCCCAGTTAAAGTTGGTGATGACAATTTTAGAGTGACAACAGTTTGTCCTCAGGGTCAACTTCCTTCAGTGGCCCTTCGCTGCTTGGGAGACAGGGTAGAGAAGGTGGTTCATCTGGACCTTGGGCTGACCCAGGAGGCAGGATGGACAGGACAGTCAGGGAGGAGATGAAAAAATAGGAAGGGCCAGTAGTTTTTCAGTGAGCTTCTAAGACTGCTGCAGTAAGCCGATTTGAGCAAACCAACCCTGTGGAGCAGAGATGGTATCAGAGAGCAGGATGTCTGACTCAGTCATCTCATAGGTGCTACAGTTTCTGGTGACCATAATGGGTCCACGTGAGCCTGGCAGTGGGCAGTGGCTTGCAAAGAGAGAATGGAGAAGAATGTTGGAGACGGGAGGGAGAGGGAACTCAGAGGTCAGCATGCTGGATGGAGCACCCACCAGATGACGACATCAGGACAGCTGCTCAGCTCAGCCCATTCTCTCCTCATCCCAAACTCTGGCATTCACCTCCAGCCCTTCCTGGTCAACAACCTAGCTCCTACTTCCTATCTGACTTCGGGCCGACATCCCCTCTAACTTCCACTCTCCTGTCTAACCCAGCACGCTCCTATCCCCTCATCCTCCCTTATCTCACCCCCTCTCCTCCACTCTCTTCTCCTCACACTCATCTTTCTCATCCTGTTGCGCCCATCATGTTATCCTCCTCCATGCCATGCATTTGAGGAGCCATTGCAGGTGGGTGAAAGCCTGTGCCAGGTGCCTAATTACGTGGGTCCAAATCCCCCATTTACCATCTACCCACATTGCCTAACTTTGCTGTGCCTTGGTTGTGAAGGTGGGGTGAGAACAGTAATATCTACTTCATAAGGCTGTAGAAAGGATCATGTGAGTCCAACGTGCTTGGAACACTGTGTGGGCACAAAGGAAGTGCTCACTAAACTGTTGTTCTCACCCTCTCTCCTTACCTGCTCACTCTTTCCTTCCCGTTCATCTTCTCACCTCCCTTACCCCTCTGTACCTACTTCACACCTCTTCAAAGGGGCAGAGACAGTCAGACTCAGCCCCTGCCTGCAGACTAGGAGGGAAACAAATGTCAGAGCACACAGCACATAAATAAATGTCAGGAGAATTTACTAAGCACTACTTCAAAGATGTGAAAGTGCTATTGGAGAGCAGGGGCCATCGCACCAACTCTGCCCAGGGATGTTAAGAAGTCTCCACAGCAGATAACCTCTCAGCTGGATCTTGAAAGAGAATTTTCCAGGGAGGTATTCCAGCCGGTGTTTCTTGTGCTGCTTCTGTGGAAGGTGTGGAGTTAGGAGGATCCCCTAACCCCAGCAGGGGCGCGTCCTCCTCAGTGTGGCCACCTGGGGGCAGCAACACATCACGAGCAACTGCAACCACGGACCGGAAAACTAGAGAGCCCCACAGGTCCTGGGTACAGCGGTGCCGAACAGACTGGGCAGGCCCAGACAANAAAAAAAAATTTAAGGCTTCTGTCATGTGGAGAAAAAGTGTAGGCTTGTCTTAGAAAAAGAACAAGAGCCCCCTGAGGATTTATGTAACTCATATTAATAAGAATAGAATAGTTCTTCACAGAGCTGGAAGTGTCTGTAGAATATGTAGTCTCTACTTAACTCAGTATTCACCATGAGCCAGACACTGATCTTCACGCTTTACAATCTTCACTTTCTCCTGGTAACAACACTCTCAGGTAAGTACAATCATATCCCTTTTACAAATGGGAACTCAGAGGCCTGGAGTCCAAGTTGCATAGATAGAAAGTGGCAAATTTGGTTTGGCTCCAGAGTTTGGATGCCTCCCCTGTAACTGGTAGTTCCAGCCACCACTCTGGTACGTAAAAGTATAAAATCCAGCTTCCCTAGGAAGTGAGCATCCCTTCTCTAAACTCTAGTCCTTGTCTGTCACTAATTAGCTATGTTGTCTTATATCACTTCACCCCTGACCTGCTTCTTCAAAAGTTAAATAATGGGGTTAAGCTCTGTTTCTTCATCCATAAACTGATGCCTAGGCTCTCTAGCTGAGCCAAGTGCTGCAGATACAAAGATGGCTAGGAAACAGGCTTGCCTTGAAGGACTGTGCAGGGCATGGAGGAAGTGCCACCAAGCCAACAATTCAAAAGAGGCAAATGTGCTGTTAGGAGCAGGGAGGAGAGGTCCCTCTGTGAAGTGGTCCCCTCCCCCTCTGGCAGTTGTGGAATTTGGGCAGGTGGTGTTAAGAAAGGCTTCCCAGAGTAATTGTAGGGAAGGTAGGAATTAGCCAGGCAGGCAGGGAAGGAGTGCTATCCAGGCCGGAAACGGGAAGTGAAAGCACAGCATGAGCAATGAAAACAAAGCGCCTTTCAAGAGCTGAGCAGGAACAGCTGTGAGCATCTTCTACGGTGTCAGTCTTACATTTACTTTCCCTCCCCAGCATGCCTGTGAGTGGCTTCTGTGAAGCCGCAGAGTTAACACAACAGCTTCTTACAGATGTATTTGTTGAGCATCTATTAAGCACCCCTACACAAACGGAAGAGACGGCCTTAGTCTTAACAGTTGAGGGTCCACCCTGTTCTGACATCTGGGCTAGTTCTGAGGCACATAAGCCTTGTGTGACTATCCGCAATGAGACAGACAGGCCTCTATGAAGCAAAGAATACCCCCTCCACCACACACACACACACATACATAACACACCATTATGTTAACACCAATTTTTTAGTTCTGGAACCGGTTCAAGGTTGTCCACTCAGAAGGGCAGGACAATTAGGATGAGAGATGAGAAAGGGTTAAGGAGAGTTATTTCCTGGAGTAGGCAGGCTCCTCTCTGGAAAGGTCAGTTGTGGCTTCAGGAATAACACTGTGCCTCGCCCAGTTCTCCACCTCTAGCACCCTAGGAGGAGGCAGTTCTGGCCCTTGTAGTTCACATCCGACCTCCTGGCAGGAACTGTAGATTTAGTCAACAACACTCAAATCCTGAAAAAATAAGCAAGAGGGTGGAGGGGACATGGAGATAGGTAGAAAAGGGAAGAGGGCCAGAGGTAAGTGGGGCAGGGAAGAGGGGAACAGAAGACAGGGTCCAGGGCAGGCTACGGAGATGCTTGAAGAAAAATGCTGCTGTTACTGCTACTTGTGGGGGCTGCCGCAAGCAGATGTCTACACGATGAGACACAAAAGTCTGTGAGCCTTCTCACACCCCACTTCTCCCAACTTCCCCCAAACTTCCGCTCTTCCTCCCTCACCCTCCCTGGCCCTCATTATCCTCAACCCCTGCGAATCCAAACCTGCTATATTGGAGATCCTGTATCACATGGACTTTGGGATTCTGAACTCCAGGGAGACAGGATGAGAGGAGGACCCCGGGCCCTGGCCGCAGTGAGAGAGGCTGCTCAGCGACTGCACGGTGTCCTAGCAGGTAAGTGTGCCAAGAGGAGTCAGGGAGGGCTGGGCAGGAAGACCACCACAGAAAAGAAACTGGAACTCTAAGCTGTTGAGAAATTGACCTCTCCTATTGTTTAGTCCCTCCCGTGCAAGGACCCCTGCTTCTGAGTCGAGACCCTGCACAGTACTGCCATGCTGTCTGGGGAGACCCGGACACCCCAAACTACCACAGGTGAGAGATCATGTCATTGAGAATGTACACAATACCTCATCAGGGGTACCCAGAAATGTCTCCAGCTTGCCAACAGGTATTCATTCTTGGCAGGTGCAGCCTTTTGAACCCAAGGTACAAAGGAGAGAGTTGCCTGGGGGCAAAGGTGAGAGCAACTTCTCAGACTTGGGTGTCTGAAGATCTCTAGCCTGCCTAGACCTCTCCAAGACAACCAGCATCAGAATTACTTAACATGCTTCCTAACAAATGAGAGTCCTGAGCCCCTCCCCTACCCCAGCAATTTATTAAATCAGAGACTTGGGGTAAGAGGACAGCAGGACTCCCTACTATAACCAGCTGCCTGGATGAAATGAAGGCAGACTAAAGACAGACTCTCTACCCCTCATGCCTCATACCTAGTTTCCTACTGTCCTATCCCCCAACCCATCTGCTAAACCAGCCCTTACATTGCAACCCCCTGCCAGATCCCTGATGCCCATCTCCATGGTTATGCCTTGTGGCCAGAGCAGGGTCCCCCACAACTGGTCCAGCCAGATGGGCCTGGGGTCCCAAACACCGATTTTCTTCTATACGTGCGGGTTGCTCACACTTCCAAGTGCCACGGACAGGTGAGGTTCAAATCAAATCCCTTTTCCCTGCTCTGCCTCTCTTCATCTTAAATATCAGATGAAGGGAGCATCAAAGCAGTTTTCATTGAATCGTGCTTATCTGGGGTAACTTGGGTCATGCTGATGAAGTTTGGGTGGGGACTAAAAACCCCCCAAGCCATCCCTTGGTACTACTGCTGCTGAGCTCCCTGGGCCTCTATTTTCAGGAAGATTTCTTGTTATCCCACTTCCCTCCTTTCTGCTCCTACCTTATCCTGGCCATCCACAGCCCTCTGTCATAGCCTATGCTGCCTGCTGCCAGCTGGGCTCAGAAGACAGGCCCCTCGCTGGTACCATTGTCTACTGTGCCCAACGTCTCACCAGCCCCAGCCTCAGCCACAGTGACATCGTCATGGTGACCGCTGCATGATGAATAAGGAGATGCAGACAGGTTGAGGGTGGGGGCAGGTCACTCAGCTTCCCTTCAGGTGGGAAAAGTTACTAAGGAATTGGTGGAGCCTCATGCTCTAAGAAGAGCTGAGGGGGCAAAGGGGCTATGGAGTGGCTGGGTCAATTCTGCTGCAAATCCAGTCCCCCTTACTCTTCAGTCATTTGTCCTTAGGCCACACTACATGAACTGCTCCATGTTCTGGGTTTCTCTGCACAGCTTTTCAAGAAGTGGCGGGATTGCCCCTCAGGACCCAGAGGTAAATGAGAGGAATGAGGGCAATGTCTTCCCATGTCAACTACAGGGAATCATGTAGTACCTCATGAACTCCTTCCTTCTGGTTCTAACCTGACCCTTTCCAAGTTTTCTTCTCATATTGCCTTCTTCTGTTTGTGTACTCAGCTAGAGAGAACTGTTCTACAAGGCCACAAGTGACAAGGCGAGACGAGGGGGGACAGCTGCTTCTCACCACCCCAACTGTTAGCCATAGGCTGGCCCAACACTTGGGAGTGCTAGGGGGCTCACTTGGCGTCCCCTTGGAAGAAGAGGTGAGAATGAGAACACCCTGGGCTGCAGAAAGGAAAGAGGGAGCAGCCAGGTGGCAACTAGCTACCTCTCCTGTTAGGGCCCTCTGTCTTCACATTGGGAGGCCCGACTGCTACAGGGTTCTATAATGACTGCCACCTTCAATGGTGCCCAGCGCACTCAACTTGATCCAATCACTCTTGCTGCCTTCAAAGATTCAGGATGGTACCAAGTCAACCACAGAGCGGCCGAGGAGCTGTTGTGGGGCCAGGGTGAGAACTAAGGGAGAGTCCCAGGGGGCAGTCAAGACCTGAGTCAGCCTGGGTGACATGAGGGAGGTTGAAGGGGATTATCTGCTGCTAAGGCGGAATTGAAGTTGTAAACTGAGGGATGTTTGGGGCTTCATTTGTCCTGAGGGCTCCTTCTCATCTCTCAAGCAGGATCTGGCCTGGAATTTGGCCTGGTTTCCACATGTGGGACTGGCTCCTCAGACTTCTTCTGTACAGGCAGGTGTGTGTGCTGAGCAGCTTGAGGGGCTGTTTGGCCGTCAGTGATCCTAGTGTCCCTTCCCTTCCCTTTCACAGAGGCCTGGGCTGCCACTATCTGCACTTGGACAAGGGAAGCTGCTCCTCAGACCCCATGCTGGAAGGATGCCGCATGTATAAGCCCTTGGCTAACAGGGTGAGCAGACGGAAGAGTGAACTGATGGGCCTGAGGGAGTTGAGTTCTAAGGTATCCAGGCTCACTCGTCTACCCTCTGCCCTGCCCTGCCCTGCAGAGTGAATGCTGGAAGAAGGAAAACGGATTCCCACCTGGGGCAGAGAACCCCCATGGGGAGATCTACCATTCCCAGAGTCGTTGCTTCCTTGCCAACCTCACTTCACAACTGCTTCCTGGGGACAAGACCAGGCATCCCTCTCAGATCCCACACCTGAAGGAATCAGAGCTCACTGGCCGCTGCTACTTGCATCAGTGTACAGACAGGGGAACATACAAGGTGCAGGTGGAGGGGTCCCCCTGGGCTCCCTGCCCTCCAGGAAAGGCTATTCAGGTGGGTCTGAGTGCACTAGTTGCAGCAAGGGCACAAAGCCATGCAGACACTCAAACGGCAGTACTGCCCAATCTGGTTGTATGTCCATTAACATTTTCCTTAAGAAAGCTTGAGCAAGTAATGAGACCTCACTATGCCCTGCTACCAAATACCTTGCAGATACCTGGGTACCGTGGTCTCCTCCTCTGTCCTCGGGGTCGGCTGTGTCAGACTAATGAAAGTACCAATGCTGTCACTTCCCCACCTGTGAGTCTTTCAACACAACACCTATTATTCGAGCTGTCTTTAGGATTAGCTGGGCCTCCAAGCCACTACCTGGGGAAGGAAGAGCGAGACGAGCTGGCAGAAGCGGTACTGCAGGCTCTGGTGAACAGAGGAGGCACTGGCAGGTAAAGGGACAGTTCAGCCTCAGGGTGTTTATGATGGGCCAGGGAGAATGCTCAAGTCCTTTACTTCTTAACTCTGACTTTCCATCATTCCACTGAGCCTGCACCTGTCTCATGAGATACTCTCTTCCAGGGACTATACCTCCATTAAGAGATCCAAATATCCATCTAGGTGCTATTTCCAAGGTGCCTCGATTACCACTAGTCTGGTGTTCACTGTGCATATGTGGAAGTCCCCTGGCTGCCAAGGGCCTTCGGTTAGTATGCTGAAAAGGGCCCTGACCCTGACTCTCCAGAAGAAGCCCCTAGAAGTATATTATGGAGGAGCCAGCTTTACCACAGAATATATCAAGTAAGATAATTTTCCAAGTACTTTTATTTCAAATCCTGGAGATGATGTTTGAAATTGCATTTATTAAGCTCTCTCACATGTATACTATGCTAGATAGGGTCACCAATTTCAGAAAACTAACATGATCACCTTGGGCCTGTTGCTATGGGACACCTCTTCCCATAATAACGTTCTCCTACCTCTAGGCCATAGGGATCCTAGTCCCTTCCTTAAGCACTACCCAGTCACATCTAGTTACCTAACACCATAGTCTAACTCTTCCCTTAAGCCACCTCTCTCACTGCCTCTCTTTCCAACAACTTAAGTCACTGGGAGACTTGAATCTAGGTATTTTTACTTTTGGATTCTACATACCTTCTTATTGATTTCCTTATTGCTTACTGTTTGGATGAAACAGGGTTTTGTGAGCTCTATGTATTATACTACAAGGTAAAGCCCCTCACCTCCTGAGTCTAGGCATTATTCCAGGCTAAATATCACTTTTATGTTCCTAGGTTGCCAGTTACCTTGGACCATAATCCCTCCATGACCCACACAGGTGTGTCCATGGGGCTCTGCCTAATGCTACTTATCTTGCTGGGTGCACTGGGAATAGTGGTCTACCAGAAACAAGCTGCTCTTCGGGTGGGACCATCTGCCCCTTACCCTTCACCAGAGCTCCAAGGGACAAGGGCCCAGTCGGAGGAATAAGGGAGGTGTGATGTCACCCAGAGTATGATGGGAGTAGGGCAGAGATTATTTCTTGGAAGACAACTGGATAGAAAGTTAATCTACTGTCTACACTTAAGTTCTTTCCTCAGAATGCCCTCTCTGGTTATCAACTTTATGCTAGTTTTGCAATGAAAGAAAGGTAGAAACTTACGATTCTGAAAATTCATTATTTTGATACAAAAAATAAATCCTTTAACCTGTAAAGAATGTCAACTTGCTTTCACACTGTAGAGCAAATAAAGAATAGAAACATCTGCTACCAGCTCCAAGGATATCATATTGCTTTAGAAAAAGTCAGTTACTGGGATTCAAACAAACCAGTGTAGAGAAGAAAGCAGCTCATTACTTCCCCCTCCGGATTTTTCCATAATTTTACTCCATCATCCCTAGGAAAGCTAGTGGTTGGCATGTCACGTAATTTTGCCAGAATCTAGTAAGGGTGGAAACACCAGCCATCTGAATCCAGCTGAATTACAAAAACATGACATTTTATTGCCCTTCTCTTGTTTCTGGAGCAGGAGGGATATACTTAATACCCCCATGGGCCACCAGTAGGCTTGAGATATAACATGTAGGTTCCTGTGCAAGACAAGCCATTAAGTTCTTGAGGTTTTGACATCTCCCAGAAAGAAGCAAACTAGACAGCAGACTGCTGATCTGGATTTACTTAGATGGAAATTATTTACAGTAGGAGTCCAGCTGATATGCTGTTAACACGGAAATAACCAGACCTGTGCTTGTGAGTTCAGTCAATTGATCAGGATACCAACCCCAGCCTTTCAAGTGACATGTTTGAAGTTCTTACTGTAAAATTGTGGCCTTGGCTCCATTAACTACCACTATCTTCTTTGATTTTAATGCCAATCAGTCTTTACCAGCTGTAGCAGCCACTGCTTGGTAAAACTTTGCCACAAAGTCTGGTTCACTGACCTCCAGCTGCCTGACAAATTCATTGCGTTCCTGCTCAGCCCAACCTCGAAACCACTGATCCCAAAGATGTAGCTGGCACTCAAAGATACAAGGTGGTCTGTTTGCTCCGGACACACTGAGCTGCTCCAGACCTTCCAACAGTGGCTGTAATTTTCCTGGCACTGCCTTAGCTACCAGATCCTGTAGGAAACGTTCCCGCTGGGGAACTGACCAACTGGCAAACCAGTGAAGAATACACTTCATCTCCTGGGAAGTGATATAAGACATTGGGGGAGGAGAAGAGTTGGTAGTATTGCCTGGTACTGAAGATAAAGAAGGGAAGGATAGCTGCATCAAGGAGGAAGATGATTCCAGTGGCATCCTGAAAAAGAAAAGCACTGTTATATACTGCATGTAGAGCAACCAAACTAAAATTTCCTAACCAGAAGGAATCTTACACAATCAGCATCTAATAGAGAATAATATTTTTTCCTGTAAATTGGGTTTATAGGAAAACAAACAGTAATTTACGTTACTATCCAACTACCCTACAGAAGTCATCCATGAATAAATTCATTTCACATTTGCCAACCTTCCTCTCTTTTTCAAATCCATTACCTTCCCAACCACTCCTTCACTCCATCATTTTTTTTTTTGAGAGGGCATCTCTCATATTTATTGATCAAATGGTTGTTAACAACAATAAAATTCTGTATAGGGGACTCAATGCTCAATGTACAATCATTAATCCACCCCAAGCCTAATTCTCATCAGTCTCCAATCTTCTGAAGCATAACGAACAAGTTCTTACATGGTGAACAAGTTCTTACATAGTGAGAAAAGTTCTTACATGGTGAACAGTACAAGGGCAGTCATCATAGAAACTTTCAGTTTTGATCACACATTATGAACTATAAACAATCAGGTCAAATACGCATATTCGTTTGATTTTTATACTTGATTCATATGTGAATCCCACATTTCTCCCTTATTATTATTATTTTTAAATAAAATGCTGAAGTGGTAGGTAGATGCAAGATAAAGGTAGAAAACATAGTGCTGTAAGAGGGCAAATTTAGATGATCAGGTGTGTGCCTGTAGACTAAGTGTTAATCCAAGCTAGACAAGGGCAATAAAACATCCACGGATGCAGAAGATTTCTCTCAAAACAGGGGGGGGTGAGGTTCTAAGCCTCACCTCTGTTGATTCCCAATTTCTCACCTGATGGCCCCCCTGCGACTGTGCCTGTCTTAGGTTGTTCCTCCCTTGAGGAATCTTACCCGTCTCTGGCTAACCAGTCATCTTCCGGGGCCATACAGGGAAATGTAAAGTTGGTACGTGAGAGAGAGGCAATATTGTTTGAAAAGGTTAGCTTTTTACTTCTTTGCAGATTTATGCCCTGCACTCCATCATTCTTATAATCTAAAAATAACACATTTCTTGCTCATTCTTTCCTGCCTACTTCTATGCTCCAGGTTGAATAATGAAAAAAATAAAAAGATACATTATGTTGGTCCATCACAACCTCCCTAAAATAAAAAAAAGTACACATTTTTAATCTAGTACATGCAACTGATCAGAGCCTAGATTAATCATTTCAGAGCTATCAACAGTGGAGTTAAAAATCATATGATGGAAGAGCCTTCTCTGCAATGTCCATATAACCTCTGAAATTTGCCAACTTCATAACCTCCATTATGTCCTCATACTTCCTGTAAAGCACCAGGAAAAATTAAAGAGCTGAGGGAGGGCGCCTCATCCAAGATACGGTAACAGTAAGAAAAACAGGAAAAGCCACTTGTTCATGCAGGACTGAGAAAAGTCTAGTAGGTTTGGTGGTTTGCAGATCTAACAATTGTTACACTGCTCTAGAAACATGACAATTCGTGTCTTTGAACGATTTTCCTTCATGTTTAATATAATACCTATTAATGCCCTGCCACTGAGTCGCATCACCAGTGCAACTGGAAGGTCAGCCAACTTGAACAGTTTGAGTCCCACAATTGGAATCTCTAACAAAGAAAACTGTACTTACCTACGACCTGTTTTACTGCTTGGGCTTCTTCTGAAACAAGGTGGAGTGTTTGTAGTGACAAAGGAACCCCTCAACCAAAACAGTCCAGGAAGGTTGCCTTTTTCACACTGGCCCTCCTAGAAGCAATTCCTCCTTAAGGAACTTTATTCTCTTATTCGGGGAAAGGGAGCACTTTTCCCGAGTCTTACGACGTGGCTTCACAGCAAGCTCAAGTTCAGTGATCATGAATTAGTTCACGCTGGGTCCGAAAACATGGTGCTGCCACTTGCCCACTTTGCAGGCCAAGAAGCCTGGCACTCCGAGGTCCCAAAAAGAGCGACGTAGCCTTACATGGGAGTAACGGGATTCAGCTGAGAGGCGGCAGCTGTTTCGGTAGGGGAGCGCGAGACTTACTCTACTAGGCTAACCCGAAAACACCGAGTCTGGCCCGGCCCACGGAGGAACTTCTACCCCGCTTACCTCCCCTTTCCTCTCACAGGGCACCCGGACGCCGTCTCAAGAATGCTTAGATTCCAACTACCACCATCACTTCCTTGCTTCCAGAAAACCCCAAGAAGAGCCAGTGCGGCAGCCCACGCACTTCCGGTGCCAGGACTGCCCCAAACACCCAAGAGCCTCAGCGCCTCAGCCTTAGATCCGGAGATAGCCGAATAACTGCGATTACGGTTATGCCAGAGTCGAAGGCTTCCGAATAGATTCGATTCAAAGCCTCGGTAAAACGAAGGTAACCGAGCTCTGAAAGAAGAGAGGGGAGCGGTTAGGAGTATCAGAAGAGCCGATTGGTGCCGATGTGGAGACGGAAACACCCGAGCAGTTCCGGAGGAACCCGGGCAGTTCTGAGTGGTAATCGAGGGGTTGACTACGGCCGTGGGCGGGGTGAGCTCAGTACGTTCGAAGGGCGTTGGCGGAAATTACCGAAGATGCCCGAAGCCGTCGGGACGGACCCGAGTACCTCACGCAAGATGGCGGAGCTGGAGGAGGTGACTCTGGACGGGAAGCCTCTTCAGGCGCTGCGAGTGACCGACCTGAAGGCCGCACTGGAGCAGCGAGGCCTAGCCAAGAGCGGGCAGAAGAGTGCCCTGGTCAAGCGGCTCAAAGGGGTGAGGAGACGGCGTTGCCTGGGTGTCGGAGGGAACGGACCCGGTAGAGACGAGTCTCTGCCGCGGCGCAGGCGCAGTGTCCGGGCTCGGCGCGAGCTCGCTCAGGCCGCTAGCGCGAGCCTCTGGATCCACGCGCACGGTAGTTGGTGAAGCTCGCGCTGCAACAGAGACAGCGCCGGTTCCCGCCTTAACGGCAGCGGCGCGAGCCCAAAATGGGAGGCTGCGCGCTGCTCTCCCGGAGTGTCTTAGGCTCCTTCCTCCTTCCCCCACCCCCTCCTTGTTTGTGTGTCTGGTTTCGGCGCATGCGCTGCAGAAGGAGTTAAATCCCACTACAACCACCGGCGTTGCTGGCCTGAGGGGGTCGAGTTGGGCTGGGTCCGAGTTAGGGTTATAGTTGGACGGAGGGGTTGATGGGGTTGGTATCGGTGTCCAAGAATAGGATTGTGGTAGGGTAAAATGTCTGCTTGATTAGAGGTGAGCTGAAGAAAAACCCCGATTTGAAGGGACTTGTTAGGGGTGTATAATTTATAGGGCATCCAGAAGCAATTTAGGTGGGTAAGAGTTTGATGAATATTAGAAAGGTGAGGCAGATTAGTATATGTTGGGGAATTTGAATCGGTGGGATCTTCAGGAGGTAGGTGGCTGGATTGGTGTGTATTGGTTTGGTTTAAACAGAGGGAAGATGAAGTTTTAATTAGAGTTAATTAGGATACATGGCCAGTAGTGTAGATTAGAGCTGGGTTGGCCCAAGGGTTAAATTGGCAGACCTTTGCCTATACAGAAGCTGACAGCTTCTCGTGTGCGTGTGTGGGTTGGGTCTGACCATAGTTTACAGAATCTGTGGTCATTTTGTTCTGTAACCTCTTCGAACTTTTTATAAATTTGATAAACCTAGGTGCCACTCACGTAAACGATACAAGTTCACTGGAGTAGATGTAGTCCTGGGTAACTGATAAGTAATTTAATCAGGGAGAAACCAGCAGCCCCCTGTTGATTTCATGTATTAGAAACTGATCTGAGTATTTGAACTGATTTTACCTGCATGGCCAGATTTAGAAGGGGCACTAGTCAAAAGTGCAGAAGAAATAGGGATTGTAGTTCTGGTTCTGTCACTGTTTTTCTCTTATTTACATAGCCAGGTCACTGATTTTCTGTGCCTGCATTTTACATCTCAGCATTTCAGAATAGTAACCATGGCTACCTTTAAGGATCTTCTAAAGATGAATGAGAACAGTATTAGTAAAGGGCTTTTAGGTCCCTGGAAAAGGAGTACAGTTTAAGTGTGTATGGTTAGTTGTTGAATTTAATGAAGAGATTGAGGGAGGAGTGGGTGTTTTCTTTTTAACCTGACTTCTGATTTTTGCCCTTCTCTACACTAGGCTCTAATGCTCGAAAATTTACAGAAACACTCAACACCCCATGCTGCATTCCAGCCAAATTCCCAGGTAAGAAAGAAGATCCATTAGATGGAGTGGGCTCTTTGGGGGCACAGACACATGGAAGGACATGATATTTGTATATTTGATGCTTAATTCCTCACCGACATTTTCCTAAGTTCCCTGGGTTGAAAATGTTATCATACCGGATAGTTGGATTCTAATAAAGAATTTAATGACAGAATTAGAGGAGGTTAGTTAACTTTTGATTCTTAAAATGGTGTGTGGAGAAAGATACGGCTCCAATTAAGTGTAGTACAGGGATCTGAAGTCATTTATTTGCCATTGATTTGGGAAAAGTAGTTGATGTCTTTGAATCTGTAGATTTGAATTAGATTGTCAATAGGGAGTATACGAAAATACTTGCTAATCAAGAACTCTTGTGTTCTTTTCAATCTTTTGGAAATCATCCACCATTGCTAGTGTTAATATTAACAGTGCAGTTACTTCTAGACATCATGAATTGCTCTGTTACTTAGGGCAAGAAACTTAACCTTTGGAGGCCTTGGTTTCCTCAGTTCCCTATGTGTAATATGAGAAAAGGTTGGACTAGATCCGTAGTTTTATAACTGCTCTGCTGGGGTTTTGTGTAACTGGTGGGGCTTCCTAGGGAAGATACTTTTTCTTCCCAAGTGAGCAGGAGTTCACACTCCCCTCTTAAACTATGTTAGATCTGCTTTTATCTTCTTTGTATATTGATTGCAGCATAAGAGTTCCCTAGAAGAAATCATTCCATAGTTTAAAAAATAAATAAATTCTTAGACTGCATGATCTTGTTAGGGAGTCTTTTCTGCTTTTAAAATCCCTTCATTATAGTATACACTTAAAGGACAAATTCAGGTCTTTGTTAGTGCAGTAGTGTGCAGCTTCAGTATTACATGAATTCCCAAGATAGTGTGGAAAAACAAGAGAGCCTTCGTAAGCTCCCTTGTTATCAACTCATTAAGCTGTAAATATCATCTAGCCAGCTTATAGAGGTTTAGTTAAGTTTTAAGAAGTATAAGACACTGTATAAGTAATCAGTTTATGATAATATTCCTTTTGTCCATCCTTTTGCATTTTTAGTCTTTAAATTTTGCTCTTATAAACATGGGATTTTTGCAACAAATACATACATACATTAATACATGCAACCCACACTTCATCAGTGTCCATTGAGTACCAAGAGACTTGTTCTAATTACAGTTGTGCTAAGTGCTATGAGAGGAAGTACATGGTAAAAAAATATTTACTATGCTTAGGAAAGATTATAAATAACATAGAAACTGTTCAGATATTTTCCTTTTTCTGGAGTTCTAATAAGACTTGCTAAGCAAGAAGGTTCTTAGGAGGAGGACTTGTGAAGAGAGAGCTGAAGGGCAGAAGAGTGACATGGGAGTATGTGTTGCAGACAAAATGGGAAAAGGGATGGGATTAAGCTCCTGAATTTTAAATACTGTTACCAAGAATTTCTTCTCAATCAAAATGGAATCTATCAAAATGCTGAATGGAAATCCTTTTTCTTTATGTCTTGCTTTCACTGTAAGACATTTTTAAGTACTGTAATTTTGAAGATGTTTGACATTTCCTGGATAGGTGGAGACTGATCTTTGGTATCAACAAGAGATAACTGGTATGAACTAATTATAATTAGTATTTTTTCCTTTTAGTTTTGGTATTCTAAAAGGAAAATTTAGATTATCTTTTGGGTAATGTTTTTAATTATCTAAAAATTTAGATTAAAAAGCATACTTCTACAGGAATTTTTATTTCTATTTGTATCTATGCATCATTACTCTTTGGTTGGGAACTGAATATTTAAAGTAAAAAATGATGTGCAGTGCCTCTCTTTACCATCTTTGGTGAATCATAGGGCTATTTATTTTGGTTCTCAACATAAGAGTAGCTTAGAAAAGGGCCTTCCAGCATTTTAATTTAATTACCTTTCTTGGATCCAAATATAAGTGGTAAAGCTTTACTCCATGGAATTTTCTTCCTTGCATTTTTCCTGGTTTGCTTTCCTTTACTTTCCTTTTCCATGTCTTCTACACAGATTGGTGAGGAAATGAGCCAGAACAGTTTCATAAAGCAGTATCTGGAAAAGCAGCAGGAGCTACTTAGGCAACGGCTGGAACGCGAAGCTCGAGAAGCTGCAGAACTTGAAGGTAAGCCCAGGCTGTCACTTCTTACAAGGAGTTCTTCATTCTTATTCCTGTCACCAAGTAGATGTGCCTGCTTAGTAAATTTCAGGAATAAGTTAGGCTGAGACTGCTGCATATTTGCTTTGGTAGTTTATGGAGCCACGTGAGTTACTGTTCACCTTTTGTCAGGGAAGAAGACACTTAATTTGACCATCTTGTTAGAAGAGGATTCTTGTTAACAGGCAGAGTTATTAGTAAATTAATCTACCCTTTAGATGAGGTAGGACTTAATCTCAGGGAGTTTTTCTATATATAAAGAGCTCTTTTTAGTATATGCTTCGTGTCCATGACTTTGCCTGACCTCCTTCACTCCTCTGCAAATTCCCACATGCTGAGTCCTTCACTCCCTCCCTGCCCCGACCCAATCTGTACTTTGCAGAAGCTTCAGCTGAGTCTGAGGACGAGATGATCCATCCTGAGGGAGTGGCTTCCCTGCTGCCTCCTGACTTTCATAGCAGCCTGGAGACACCAGAGCTGGAGCTCAGCAGACATTCACCCAGTACGTATCTCCCTCCCCACTGCGCTGTTTTGTCAATCCTGCGTAGTTGGTGGGGGGAGGTAGTTATACCTCCTTTCCTCCTAAGTCTCCATTAAATTCCCAGGGAAGTTCTTTGTCATTGATATTTGACATCTGTTTTTCATGGGAATTAGGTCCTTTTTGAGGAAGCCTGCTTTCACCTCTATGTTGTGTTAACCTCTCAGTGCTTTATGAGGTGGTATAATTTTTCTTCTCATCTGTATCACTTTAACCTCTTAATATCTCTGAGTTTAGGAACAGTCACAACTCTTTCATTTTTCTCACTAACTGTATATGTTATGTATTGCACATCCAGTCATTCTCCCAGATAGGCATCTGCTGTAGTTTATTAATTCAACAGATTTTTATTTAGTGCCTGTTGTATGTCAGGCACATGTTAGACACCAAGAATATGGTAGAGAAAAAGACAAGTCTGTGCACTATTGTAATGTACAATGTAGTGAGAAGATGGATATTAAATTATTACATAATTAATTACAGTTGTGCTAAGTGCTATGAGAGGAAGTACAGAGTATTATATGAGCATATTATAGGGAGCTCTAACCTATTGTGTGGAGTTGGTTCAGACAAGATAATTTTTTCATTTTATAAAAAATATTAAGCACCCAGTTTACCATAGTATCTCAAGCAAAAGTGTAAATGCAGCCTTGTCTTCTAGGAACTACCTACCTAAGACAGTATGCTTTTAGGAGAACATATATATGAGATATGTGGACTGTAGATAAATATATTGAACTAATGTATAAATTAACAAGTACTTTGAATCATTAATGTTAGTGTTCATGGGGAAGGTGATCATTCCATAGTTAGTGTTTTTAGAATATATGGAAGTTGCTAGCTATTCTGATTAATACAGAATTCCTTCTTCAAATTAGATTTTTTAGGACATATTTAATGGTGGGGAAGAAGTAAGTTCATTTAGAAACCTCCTTATACATAAAAGTAGAAGACCCTTAATTGATCCATTTTGCTCTTAGCACTCTTTTTTTCCCTGATTGTAAAGCCAGGAGGAAGGGGAAAACTCTTTTATAAATTAGTTGTCAGTGTTTCTTAAATAAAAAATCAGTCAAAAAAAATTAATGAATCCTGCTGTACACATATTTCCATATAGAAAAATATTTGGGGGGGAGCTAGCACATTGTATCATCTGTTAGGGGGAGAGAAGACAATTGCACGTAAAACTAGCAATAGAAGATGGTATGTTTCAAAGTGACATGTAAATAGTGCATTCACATGTATCATGGGAATTCAAAATAATAAAAGCTCACTGAGGACTAGACTGATAAGAGAGAGCCTCAAGAAGGAGGTTTAGGATTTGAGCTGAGCCCTAGAAATGGGTGGGATTTAAATTGGCACAGAGAAAAGGAGGGTATTTTTAGTAAGGAACAAAGGCATAGAGAAAGAAATGAATGTGATATTTTTAAGGGAGAGGTAGTAAAGGAATCTAGCCAGAGTAAAGTATTCTTTCATATTCAAGAATAGAGCAATAGTTGTCCATTGGGATAATACTGCTTGCTTCTATCAAAGCTAGTGAATAGGAGCTTTTTTATTGTAAAGGTAATGGAATCATTGAAAATTCTCAATAGGAACATGATTTGTTAAGGAATTCTCTTTTTATTTATTTTTTATTATTGTTATTTTGGTATCAATCTACAATTACATGAAGAACATTATGTTTGCTAGGCTCCGCCCTTCACCAAGTCCCCCCCACAAAGCTCTTCATAGTCACTGTCCATCAGCGTAGTAAGATGCTGTAAAATCACTACTTGCCTTCTGTGTTGTAGAGCCTCCCCCCCTTACCCCCTCCCCACATTATACATGCTAATTTAATGCCCCCTTTCTTTTTCCCCCGCCCTTATCCCTCCCTTCCCACACATCCTCCCCAGTCCCTTTCCCTTTGGTAACTGTCAGTCCATTCATGGGTTCTGGGATTGTGCTGCTGTTTTGTTCCTTCAGTTTGTCTTTGTTCTTATACTCCACATATGAGTGAAATCATTTGGTACTTGTCTTTCTCCACCTGGCTTATTTCACTGAGCATAATACCCTCTAGCTCCATCCATGTTGTTGCAAATGGTAGGATTTTTTTTCTTCTTATGGCTGAATAATATTCCATTGTGTATATGTACCACATCTTCTTTATCCATTCATCTACTGATGGACATTTAGGTTGCTTCCATTTCTTGGCTATTGTTTGTAAATAGTGCTGCAATAAACATAGGGGTGCATCTGTCTTTTTCAAACTGGGCTGCTGCATTCTTAGGGTAAAGTCCTAGAAGTGGAATAAGGAATTCTCTTTTAAAAAGAGAGCCTATCTCAGTTTTAAATGTAATTTGAGATGAAAATGAGAAATTGATCCTGAAATAGAAATAAGGTTTCAAAAGCAAATGTTTAGAGTGAGGGTAGCCAGTCTCTTCAAGTCTCTTCAGTGCTTTATGTCATCAGCAGGACTCTGCCTGTGGCTGTGACTAATGGAGGGGGAAAAGAGGAAAAGGAAAGAGGTGAAAAATACATGGGAAGAGATGAATGTAGTAAATTGTAGAGTATAACGAACAATTGCTCTACTGTATATGCTCTTCCTACCTCTGATCTTGACTAGAATTATGAATGTCATTGTAGATGTGATACAAATTTGGTCAGCATCCTAAGTGGAATAATAGTTTGGAGTTACAGCATTGCTTAGTTGGATCAGTGGTAATGCCTGGCATTTACCCAGAAATTCTTTCAGGCGTTCAATATCAGTCTGCCATAGACCAGTGAACTAGTGGGATGCCAGCTTATTGTTGGCTTTGGATGTTTTTGGGTTCTCTTTTAATAAGATACTGATTAAAATAAAGTTCCTAGTAACATAGTTTGCTAATCAATAGTAGCACCTGAGAACTTTTTGTTAGTATTACTACTTTCAGAAATATGAGTTCCTGGGCCCTGCTACCCTCAGGGAATGTGAGTCCTGGGACTCTTCATTTTTTTAAAGCCCCCAGGTAGTTCTGTAGATCAATTCAGTTTATGAGTAACTAGCTAAAAGAAGAATTTTTCAGTATTATGTTTAAAAAGGGTTCTTGGCTTTTACTCCAGCAATAAATTCCCTTTTATTTGGTGTAGACAAAATCCCAAATACAAAGGAAGATTGCTTTACACAGTCCTCTCTGGCTGTCCTTGACTTCTTATCTCTCCACCACTTTATTCAGGTTTGGTTTTCAAGGGTGTGGATAGTCAGTATCCACCCTCCGTAGTCAGAGTTGTTTGGATTTCCTTGTATCGTGATTGGGTGTATAAAAATTTTTATTGCCTTTAGTTTTAATTATTTCAGAGTCCATTCTAGAAAAATTATGAAGAAAAATAGAAAAACAGTTAAAAATGAATATTTAGAATATAGATTGTTTAACAAAGGTATAGCCCCAGAGGGTCTTAGCCAGCCTTTGGCTTGCAGAGCATGTAGCCCTCATTCCTTTTCCTGCATAAATCTGGATGCTGAGATTCTAAAGAAATGCTAGGTAAGTCACTTATACAGCTAACAGGAGTTAGATGTAGGTTTGGCATCATTGCCAGGTCTCCATCCTCTTAATTCTTGCTGCCTATTCATACCTAAGGATACCCTTTGGTCAAAGGCTTTTCTGTGATCTTTAACTACCTTACTTGGGTCCTGCAAATTCTGCTTACAGATTTGTTTCCTAGAATGAAGAATCTACTTTCCTATATGGCCCTTAAACATTTTTTACTTTAATACATTCTACAGTGTCTAACAGCCACCTTTTCCTTTATCCTGAAAGCTTCTGGCATTGGAATCTTGGAAATCTTATATACCCTGGCTTGCTTTTCAACTCCTGAAATACATTTATTAACTTAATTACAATATTGGCTCCACCGTTTGCTAAAACTGCTCAGTTTCTACACATGTTAACGTCTGGCTTAAGACACGTGGCCATGTGCTCGTTGTAATAGAAGATGTCACCTTTCCCAGAAGCTTGCCTGTATCACATCAGCTTCTCACAAGGAACTAGAAAGAGATTCATCATCTCTTCCTTATATTTTGTATTGCTGACTAAATTCTTGTTTCATGTCTGAACATCCCTTCCAGTTTTCACTTTTTTGGCAAAACAGTGATGACCAAAAGTTTGTGAGCAGCCCTGCCCAGTTTTCCCACATCTCTGCTGACTTACTACTTAAGTGCTTCCATAGGAGTAATCGTCTGGAATTCAGTCACTTCAGCTTTACAGAATCAAAGTAACATTATGATCCAATAGGATAGCATAAAGCTTACAATAGGTGGCAAAAGAAGCTGTTTGCTTATACATACCTAATTTTAAAATCACAACTCTAAATAAAACTGTTTGACCTGCTTAACGCATGTATCTCTGGTCACCTTTGTACCTGCCTTTTTTTTTATTCCCCTTAAAATCGCATTTATTCAGAGCATATATGTACTTAGTGAAAACCTGTTACTCAACACAGGCATCTTTTGTTTAACTTTAAATATGTGCTTTTAATTTTTTTTTTCAGAATGTTTCTTATATAGAACTTCAGTGATAAAAGTACTTGGGATGACAAGGCCTAGGAGTTTAAGTGTTATATAGTATTTGAGGAGTATCTGAGAATCTCTTCTGTAGGTTTTTTTCTTCAGAGTATGGGATTTTGTTTGTTTATTTTCTTATTACAAAAGCATTTGTTCATATTTTTTTAATTTGGAAAAACAAGTTTTAAAATCATAGTACTCTGACAAACTAAAATAACAAAATTGGTTTTCACTGTATAATTTATTCAATCTTGTCTGTGTCTGCATATAAGCTAAAATATCTGCACTATTCAAATCTTTACCTTCCCTCCAACCTGTAACTTTCTTTATCTCTCCTTGAGAATCTGGATAATGATTTTATGACACTATTTTTTTAGAGCAGTCTTAGGTTCATAGAAAAATTGAGAGGAAGATACAGAGATGTCCCAAATGCCTTCTGCCCCTGTATATGCATAGCTTCTCCCATTATCAACACTCCCACCCAGAGTGGTAAATTTCTTAAAATTGCTGAACCTACACTGACACATCATAATTGCCCAGAGTCTCCAATTTAGCTTAGGGTTCACTCTTGGTGTACATTTGTGGGTTCAGGCAAGCATATAATGACATGTGTCCATCCTTATAGTATCATGCAGAGTATTTTCACTATCCTAAAAATCCTCTATGCTCTGCCTGTTCATTCCTTCCCTGTTCCTCTGCCGTTTTTTGTTGTTAATGACAAAAATAGCTTCTTTCGTTTATACTTGCAAAGGAGAGCTTTGCCAAAAATACGTTGAAAGTATTTTCTTTAGGTTTTACTCTTTGTAATTTAATCTATTCCACATCACTTAATTATGAAATTATTATTGATTGCTATAGCCACCACATTATTTATTAATCTCTTACAGATTATTCTTCAAATGTTTACTAAGGAATCTGGTCTGTCACTATATATATCCTAATCATAGATCCTATATATATATATCCATAATGCAAGTCTGTATTCACTAATCCAGAAATGAAGTGGTATATATTCAGAGATTCTGTTAATCACACTATCATGGAGTTAAGCTTTAAAAATATGTGCAATCTTCTAGTTCATTTTATAAGTTTCTCCTTTTAATGACAGAAGCAAAGACTAGTTCATTTTACATTGTTTGGATATAGAAATGAGAGAAAACCTTGGGTTAACACTCACACCATCTGCTTATTTGTACCAGTGTGGCTCATTTTTGTACTATATTAAAATTGAGCCTAGTCTAGCTGTAATCTATAATTACCTGATTGTTCTAAACTGGTTTTCATCAATATTTATATTGCTATTCTATGTAATATTTTAATATTGATAGGAAACTTAGAAATCTTCTGGCCCACCCCCTCTTTCTAAATTAAGACTTCTGGAGATCCAAATTACTAAGTAATCTACCCATAATTACTTTCCTTCATGTAATGAAATTTTTTCAAGTTGTACATAGACTTATTATTTCGAATGAACTAGATTGGTGGTTTTCAAGCTTTCTTTAATAGTAGAATTTATTTTCCCTGTGAAGAAAAAAAGACTCACCTTGTGCTCCATATATAAAATGTAATTGAAAGGGCCTATTTCTGAAGCCCTGTACAGTTGACTTGAAGTAATTTCCAGGAACTTCTCAGCCCTGAAAACCATTCATCTAAGTACTTAACTTAATGAGATGGTTGTTTTACAAACTGGTATAATAATAATAATAATGTTTTGGTCAAAACTGTGGTAGCCATAGGCAATTCAGAAAAATGAACACTGAACATAGTGAAGTCTTGAGCTTTGATTCAGAGTGACAGACTATTATAGAAATAAGTATTTTTTATACATCTCTGATAATCAGTTTGAAGCCCCTGGTAGTTACTTTACATTTATTTGAGTATTTGTAATACATGCACTGGTTTGGGGATATTAAAAATACTCCAGACATGTGGAGCAGGAATTAGCAAAAAGACCCTTAGGGTTTTATATAATTTTTTTTTCCACATAGAAATCAAAGAAATTGGTACAGGTATGTATTGACCAGTTTATATGCTATGATTAAATTTTAGAAAACAGCCTTGAATCAGTGTTCTGATTTGATTTTCTATCATTTGGTAGGAAAAAGCTCCTGTATTTCTGAAGAGAAAGGTGAATCTGATGATGAAAAACCAAGGAAAGGAGAAAGACGATCATCCAGGGTCAGACAGGTAACTCATGTACCTCCTAAAACTTCCATCACCTCTTTGGCTAATGCTGTCGATATCTCTTCCTCTTCTGCCTTCTCAAATTATTTCAGAATTGGTGTCTCTAGATTTCTATATATAGTCATCTTCTTTCTCCTTTTTACCATCTTGTTCTTATTTTTTGTTTTTTAAATTAGATCTGCTCTGGCCTTCAGACTTCTAAGGGAATATATTTTTAAGAAACAATTACCAAAGTTGATAGGCTGGTCTATTCCTAAAGCGCATCGTTAATAAGATATAATTAATTATTCAATTAAAATTTAAAACATATGATATTAAGTGAGCAAAATCCAAAAGATTGTGGAAAAGAAATGGGAAAAAAGTTAACTATGTCAATATGATCAAAATAATCACATTAAATAATAACAGGTCAGCCCTCCGTCGCCCACTACTTTCTTGATGTTCAATTTATTTATTTTTAAAGCTTGAGACTAAAAATGAACTTGTGGCAGTTTAATTATTATATTCCCTTTAGTCACTGCATTTTGATTCCTGTAAGAGCCCATATTAGTCATGCTTGTCTAATGTCACACTTCTATGTTGCTGAAAGCATGTATTGAGTTTCTCCTTCCTTTATGTGTCTTGTGAGATGCTTTTTCTCCTGTGTTGATAGTGAGCAAATATTCTTGGAACCATTGTGTATCTTTTCTTTCAGGCAAAAGCAGCTAAACTCTCTGAGGGCAGCCAAGCAGCTGAGGAGGAAGACGATCAAGAAACACCTTCCAGAAATCTGAGGGTCAGAGCAGATCGAAATTTGAAAACAGATGAGGAGGAAGAAGAAGAAGAAGAGGAAGAAGAGGAGGAGGAAGATGATGATGAGGGACAAAAATCTAGGGATGCACCAGTCTTGAAACAGTTTGAGGAAGAAGAGAGGGAAGAGATGCCCAGAGCAAAACCAGAGGAGGTGATGGATGAGAGACTTCAAACCATAAGACCCCAGGAACAGGAGGGGTTAGAGAGAGGAGGGAGAGTTACAAGGTTCCAGGAAGAGGCCAGAAGAATTCATCTGGCCAGACATCAGCAGGAGAAAGAGATGAAAACAGCTTTTCCTCTTGAGGAAGAAGAAAGACACATAAAATCTTCAAAAGGTTTAGAGGAAAAATCAAAGTCCCCTTCCCCTCCTCAACTGATTGAAGATCTGGAGAAGGCCCCTCCTGTGCTACAGCCAGAGCAAACTGCCACTGAGGAGGAGACTCCACCACCTTTACTTACCAAGGAAGCATCTTCTCCACCACTGAATGCACAGCTCCAGAGTGAAGAAGAAATAGAGCCCATGGAAGGTCCAGCGCCCCCTGTCCTCATTCAGTTATCTCCTCCTAATACAGATGCTGAGGCCAGGGAGCTCTTAATACCTCAGCATACTGTCCAGTTGGTGGGAGGCCTCTCTCCTTTGTCAAGTCCTACAGACACCAAAGTAGAACCTCCAGCAGAGAAGGTACCAGAGGAAAATGTCCTGCCTCTAGTTCAGAAAAGCACACTAGGTGACTCCTCAACCCAGAAGGGTCTTGAAACTGAGTCAGAAAAATATGCTCAACCACTCCCTCTAAAAATTGAGGAATTAGGACCGGCCAAAGGGATCACTGAGGAATCTCTGAAACAGCTATCTTTGGAACAGAAGGAAGGCATAAGGGCTTCTCACACCCTTCTCCCAAGCCACAGATTGAAACAGTCATCTGACTCATCCTCTAGCCAGTCCTCCTCATCTTCATCCTCTAGTTCTAGATCAAGATCTCGCTCTCCTGATAGCTCAGGCTCTCAGTCTCACTCACCTCCAAGATCTAAGCAGACAGGTGTATCTCGGGCACATACTCATGCCAACCCTCGTAGTAAACCCGAGATGGGCTCCAGGTCAACATCAGAGTCCAGGTCACGTTCCCGTTCTCGTTCCCGTTCAGCATCCAGCAACAGCAGAAAAGTAAGTGGAAGAATCCTGGGGGCATTGATATTCTGTCTGTACTACAGTATTTTTCAACCCCGGGAGGACATACCGTGATCTGGTGAGAATAGAAGGTTCTTTTTGTCCCCATTTTGATGATTATTCTCCCCTCATTTCAGAGTCATTTTTAATTCATTGATTTCCTAAGTAAGGGTCCTTTTTTGTCATTTTGAGACCCTTTGATTCAAGGGAAAATTGAATTCATTTATCCATCTCCTTCACTAAACTGTAAACTTCTTGAGTATATGCACATGACTTTTTAATGTGTGTATCCCAGGACCCAGCACCTAGTTGGGACTTAATAAATAATCTGTTGAGTAATCTAGGAAGTCAGGGAGTTAACTCAAAAAGGAATAAATGGAGGGACAAAAAGATCCAGAGTGTTAAATTAGGTCAGCGGAAATTGGACAACTCAGTGATTTACTAAATATGTAGCAAATAAAATGACTTGCCTTGTGTTTTGTTTCTTCAGTCTCTGAGCCCCAGAGTCTCCAGGGACAGCAGCACCAGCTACACTGAAACCAAAGATCCCTCTTCTGGTCAGGAGGTTGCAACTCCACCAGTGCCACAAGTGCAGGTCCACGAGCCAAAGGAGAGGACTTCCGCTTCATCCTCTGTCCAAGTGAGGTGTATGAGCCAACCTGAGCCAGCCGAAAAGCATGTGACCCAGAGGTTTCAGCCAGAGCGGGTAAGCTGTTATACCCCTTCCCCAGAGGGAGACGGAGAACTAGGCATGGTTTTCTCTTTTGTCTTAGCTATAAAATTGAAAGGGCAATCTATACAAGGTTCAGTAGAAATGTAGAAAGTTGGGGATACCTGTTAGATTACACTTAATTCGCTTGCAACTCCCTTGTCATAAAAGGCCTACATGAGGCTGAGCAGCAGAATTCTCATCTCCAGGGTACTCAGAGTCAGTTCTCAGAACATCTTTTCTCTGCCCCAAAGGACACCTTTTCTCAGTTCTCTCCAAAAAGAATTCTAATAAAATGATTGCTGGCATAGAAATTTCTTAAGCAGTATCCTGTTCCCCTTTGTGAAATGAAATGAAGATACACAGGGCTGTGTGTGGAGCTGGTACTGTGTATGTTCTGCTCTGCCTTTGACCAGCTCCAGATCAAAGAAAAGGAACCAAGCAGATTTAAGTATGTTGCTATGTTTGTTTTGCTATGTTTGCCCTGACAGGGGAGCCCAAAGAAGTGTGAAGCTGAGGAGGCAGAGCCACCAGCTGCCACACAGCCCCAAACCTCAGAGACTCAGACTTCTCACCTACCAGAATCAGAAAGGATTCATCACACTGTGTAAGTGATACATCTCAGCTGGGGTATAACAAGGAACTAGGAGTGTGGGGTAGCTTTTTACTCCCTAGGGGTTCTTTACTAAGCAGCCCTACTTTTAAAACCTGAAGGCAGAGCTTTATGTGGACAAAGGCTAGACTTAGTTACCTTGTTGGGCACTGCCTCCAGAACTTTTAAGGTAATCTGAAAAGTGGTAAGAGCATAAGGAAACCCATACTGGGATCATCTGACCAAAATAGTCAATTCCTTTAAGGAGCAGGCAGCAGAGGCTTCTGTTTCCAAACTCAAGATAGTGTAAGGGAATTGATTCAAGGCATCTTAACTCAGTCTTCAACTTACACATACCAGCTATATCTGAGCCTGGGAGCAAATCATAAAGAATATTGAGGATGTATAAAGAAGGGCACAGAAAGGTGCCAGTTTTTTAGTTTCTGTGTTTTCCATTATTACTTGCTATCATTTTATTAAGCACAGCCTATAGTTGGCTCTTCAAGCATGCGATATGGCGAAATATGAGGTCCATATTAAGTCAGAAGTTTATTCTTGGACCCCTAAGATCCTTGCTTGGGTTGATTTTACCATTTATACAGTTAGTGTGAGTTTTTCTTTCCCCTTATTTATATTTAGTCCTAGAAATACTTTGATATCAAATTAAATTTGTAATCAAACAGGTATGTCATTCATTATTCTGAGCTATTATAAATTAAGAAGTCATTGAACCAAAATTCCTGGCTTCAAAGTCTCGTGGGAAGAGAAAAGGAAAAGCATTATGTAAATAAGACTGCTTAGTTTTTAGACATCAGGAATCCTGTACTGTTCTGGTGAATATCCTGTGTGGATAGTAGGCCTGAAGTTGTGCTGTGATTCGTTGTAAATGTCATTTTACATTTTACATTGGGCCCTAGCCACTTTGACTCCAGAGCTCTCAATCTCACTGAGCAGACAGGGATAACTAAATGAAAGGGAACTCTTTGAGAGTGATGTATACATGTGACCACTTTAGCATGCAATTGGCATCTAAGTTAAAGATTTTAAGCAGCAAGGAGGAAATTTTATCCCTGGCTAAAAGCTCTGGTATTTCAAATGAGATAATACTAAGCTTTTGGTTAAGTACCCAAAAGCTTGTCTTAGTGTTAAAATCTCTACTGCCATTTGGATACAAAAGGAACACTAATACTATAAGTATGATTTTTCCCTTTGTGTAAAATCTAATAATTTACACTCTCGAGAGCTTCAGACTATCTTTTGCTCCTGATATTGGAGGGTGGTGGGCAGGTGATACGTGTTATCTCATTTCCTTAAGACTTTGATAATAGTTTTATAATCACTACGTAACTTATGCTATGGGGTTTACCCTTGCTACTGTCCATCTAAAATTCTTGCCTCTGCTGCCATCTTGTGTCCATTATATTTTTGGTTTGAAAGTCAAAAGTTCACTATTTCTTTTAAAGTTTCTGTTTTCCTCTTTTGAGTACATGATCCTTTGGAAAAGGGTTTTTCTTCTAGGACCATAAAGTGAAAACCAGCGGATTCTGGAAGGTGTCCAGGATTCCTCAGCTACACCATCGATGAGGAAATGGGGTGACACCTTCCCTTCCATATTCATCAACCAGAGATAATACATGCCCTCCCCAATCCCATCCCATGGGAGTACAGCATGTCCTTTGTATAATAGGCAGTTTCAAAGTAGGTGTTGACAACCTGCTGCTAATTGGGCCTGAGGAACTGCCTCCTATGCACCTTGAGAAGCAAGTAATTCTCTGAAAAGCTCCTTACTTGCTCTAAAACTGTGTGGGTATGTGAGATCCTGGCAACAGAACAGCACTTAGTGCTGTTTTAAAGCACCTTTATTTTTGGACTTTCATATGCAAGTCCAGGGCACTTGAAGCTTGGAGTCATACAGAATTTTTCTCCCCAGGTAAAGGTGGCTTTGATCTTCATTTTATGACTGAGGTAATTTCTTCACATTGATTCTGGCAAGGTGATAGGCAAATGGCATGTTGGGCAAATACCAAGATTGTCCCCTGTTGCCTATGAAAGCTTCCTTGGAGCAGCCTGTAGATTAGAAATGCAGTCTTCAGCTCAGGAGTAGCTCACACACATCCCTCTTAATCTACTTTCCTTCTGCCTGCCTGCCTTCCAGATGGTCTATTCAGCAGCCTAATAAAAAGACATGTCGAAAGGCCTAAACCCATAGGCTATTCTGGCATTGGATTTGGTAAAGGAATCTTTGAGAACTTTGCCTACATATCTAGAGTTCCCACTACACTGATTCACAACCCTCATCATAGTCTTAACCCCTCTAAAGTCCTAGTTTTCAGCCTGGTGACCTCTGGAGCCCTTGGCCAGTATCAAGAGTGGGATCAACAGTGCTAAATGGAAAAGACAATTTATGGCTTAACCTTGGTTTTCCTGCCTGTCTCAACAAGAAGTCACATGAGTTTAAAGGAACAGAGCTAGGACTTAGTGATTCAGTGAAGTGTTTATTAAAAATTAGACTTTACTTCAAGGACCTCTCACCACTTGGAAGAGATTGCCTAATTTTTTTGTTGTGCTTGTTAAATTCATTCTGATTCTCATTATGCCCTGAGGAATTCTAGATTTATGAGGTAAGGTATCTTTTTCATTGCTTGGAGGAGGGATTGTGACCCCTCAGATGTATTTCAGTTGAGCCCTGTCAGATCTGCCTGATGTGGATATAACAAAAACATCCTCATATAGTAGAAAATAATGGTACTCTGTTTTTACATTAAAAAGGCTGGGGTGGAGGGGTGGGGAGAACTTTGTGGCGGTAACTGTATTATCCAGCAATAGTTAATTCAAACCTGAATTCTTCCAAATACAACCTTCCTGAGTACAGACAATAGCACCTTTGGGCTCTTAGCACTCTACTTATTTGTCCCTTTCTCTGATGAGGAGGAAGGAATGGGTCCTTTAAGTCAACAGTGTAATTACTACTCCCCCGGGGACCTACAGTGCCAGTATACCAAGTGATGCATAAGAAAAAAAAGTACAATTTATTGTCATCAATAGTTTGCTCACTGAGAAATTGGTATCTAAGTCTAAGGACATAACCCAATCCACCCCACCCCAAAATCATACTGTCCTTGCTTACCCTGGAACTAGTGGGCTGCTGAGGGTATTCTGTATTTAAATCTCTTCTGCCTAAGGGTAGTCTTGTCCCACTATTGCTTGTTAAATTTCACATCAGGTCTTCTGCTCCTCATAATTTTCTACAGTAACTAAAATTCAAGCATAGATGCCTTAAGAAGTCTCCTTTTCCATTAGTTTCTCTGAATCTCATTCATATTCAGATATGAACTATAATGTGGTGTTATTAGCCTCCAAGTAGTTCTGTCCTTTTCTTCTGGGCTGCAAATGTTTTATGTGCTGTTTAATTTTGGATGGGTAACCCCCACTCCCAATTCCCATGCAGTTTCACATATTTTTCAAAGATACCAAACATTTGTGCAAGAATGTAAATAATGGAAAGGGAGATGCCCTTTTGTCTAAAAGGGACTACAAAGAAAAACTGTGACACATAGCTAACAAGGCTTCAGGAGTGTTCCAGCATGTAGATCAAGTCCCCCTTAGGGGCAACTTCAAAGATTCCTCTTTTTCTTAAGAAAATAAACTTCTTAGAGACCACAAAATTGATTATGTGGCATAGATAGCACAAACTCACTGTGTCTGAGGAAGGCCAAGGAACATGGTAAAATTCTTAACTCTTGAAAAAAATGAGAGAGAATTTCCAATAAAAGAAAATTCTTCCTCCAAGGAAGCTACTTCTAGTGGGGCATATTGGCAGCTGAAGGGGTTTAGAACAATTGATGGACAGGAAAAGTTTATTTGAGGATGTTTGAAGTAACAGTTGTTGTGGAGCAACATTGGGAATTTTATCCAAAAAATTTTTTAAGAAAGCTTTTAGTTCAGCAAAGCGTTTATTAAAGTGTCTACTTGGTACCCACCGGGGCAACCTAATTCAGAAATATTTCCGGAGCATTTCTCTGTGTTAGGACTTGGGCTAGGGGCCAAGGGCTGAAGTCCCTGACCTTGAGGAACTCTGCATGGTGGAGTTAAGGGGCAAGTAAACCCATGGTTTATATAGAATAATGAGGGCATTGCTTGAGAACCTCAAGCTGAATGCCTTTGCATCACAGAAAGAGTAGTCTTCTCTGAGGAAATTCAAAGAAAGTTCCATAGGTGGCATCAAATGAGGTAATGGCTTATTAAAATGTGTGTGTTTGTTCATAGTTACCTTGACTTGGGGTGTCCTCCAAGCAAGACTCTTTGAGAGCAAACTTTTATGCCACTGTTCCATGAAATAGGTATTATTATTCTCCCCACTTCACAGATTAAGATTCAGAAAAACAGGATCAGGAAGTTGCCTAGTATCACACAACTTGTATAGGATTGGCCCCTAGCCACTTTGACTCCAGAGCTCTCAATCTCACTGAGCAGACAGAGACAACTAAATGAAAGGGAACTCTTTGAGAGTGATGTATACATGTGACCACTTTAGCATGCAGTTGGTATGTAAGTTTAAGATTTTAAGCAGCAAGGAGGAAATTTTATCCCTGGCTAAAAGTTATGGTATTTCAAATGAGATAATGCTAAGCTTTTGGTTAAGTACCCAAAAGCATGTCTTAGTGTTAAAATCCCTACTGCCATTTGGATACAAAAGGAGCACCTTCTGTAGTTAACAAATGAGCATTTTTGGATGGCTAGAATCAGCTTCCCATTTCACATTTAGTCTGGTGAAGATGCCTATGGTTAATATTTTCCATTCAGTCCCCACACACTTTGTGCCCAGATCACCACCACCCCACATAACTGCTCAATTACTTCAGTTTCTTATCTGCTTCAGAGCCCTCAATTGGAGCCCTTGCTCCAAGAAGTGGCCTTCAAGCTTCTCCCCCCAAGGTCCTCTTGCCCAGTTTACCTTTCCCTTTCTGGCTCCAGTGGCCCCTGGGGCAGGGTTACCTTAATTAAAGACTCTGTGAAACAAAGTTGTCTGTCAGTCTCTTCAGGACACCTATCCCCTACTCCTACTGGTAATTCAAAAAGGAACTCTCCTTAGCCACTCCTTCCACCATCCCTGGAGAAAGGACAGGTTGGAGTAGTAACACGTGGTCATTGGTCCAGGTGAGCAGCCAGTCAACTATAGTGGTTGGAGAGTGCCAGTTCTCATCCCACCTCCCCTCTTTGTACTGCTGTCTGGCTGATCTGGTTTCAGTGTTCCATGCCTGGCTTCTTGGATAGAGGGAGGTGGACACTGAAGACTGCTCATGCATGCTCTTTCATTCTGTGTCTCTTTCATCTTTGGCTTTGTTATTATCCTCTAATCATTTTTCTCTCCCAGCTCTGCTGTTCCTCTTCTATTCTCTGGAATCTTCCAAGCAGGCAGCTGTAGGCTGTAACTTTGTCCTCTCTACTCAGCCCCCTCCGCCGCCCCCTGGGAAGACAAGGAGAGAGCACCCTCTCTCTGTGGGGTTGGGCCACAGTTGCTGTTGTAATCCGAGAAAAGGAGGAAAAGGGCCAGGCTTATTGAGCCAGCAATGTGCTCCCTGCGGCCTGCCAAGGGATAAGAACCTTGCTCACTCAGTGCCCTCCCTCTTTTATTTCCCCTCCCTTGCTGCAGCAGGGCCCTCCCCCATCCGCGCACACGGGCTGCTGGGTAAGTGGCAAGATGGCTCCCCTGCATGTCTCCGGCTGATCGCCGCCGCTCCGCCAATACAATAGAGCCAGCCACTACCAGCAGCCTGGCCCTCTTCCTCCTCCTCCTCCAGAGAGACCAATCCAGCCGAACTCGGGGTTTGCCGTGAGGACCTAACGCTTATCTCTTAAAAGCCAGATCTGTTTTAGCCTCCCCTCACCACCACCACCTCCCCTTCCATTTACCATTTTTTGGATCCCCAGTTGCTGCATCTTGGTTTTCTCCTAAGGATTGGGTGGCTGGGGAGGAGGTGGTGGGATCTGGGGACAAGGAAGGTTTTTTGGGGTTTTTTTCCTTTCTTTTTTTTTTTTTTTTAGGATTTTTTTGTTTGGTTTTTGTTATTTCTTCCATTCCAGAAAGGGATAAACAGCACTTCCAGGGGGAGAAAAAAAATCATGTTATCAGAAAGCAAAGAAGGGTGAGAGCTTCACTTTCCCATGTATCCCTTTTCCCCACTCCTCCGGCCCACCTCGTCTTCCTTCTCTTCCCAAGGCTTTCATTCTGCCTTCGTTTTGGTTTGTTTTCAGTCATTCTGCTTTCCCCCTTTGTCCTTCCTGTCCGACTACCAGTTGGCCTTACTTGCCCTCTTCGTATGGGAAATAGGTTGTTTTTGAATAAGTCTTTTCTTTAGATTTAGGCAGTTGAGTCTCCTGTTCCTGTGGGGGCCTGTTAGCTGGGGGCACAGTTCCAATTTTCCCCTCCCCCTTCCCGTACATCTCTCCCTGCCCGCCCTGGATAGGCTGTCCTGACCTCTGAGTGTCAGCCTGTCGGGAATGCTGAGTTTTCTGCTGGTGGTGATCAGCCTGGGGAGGCCTGGTTTCCCTTCTCAGACATAGGCCCCTGATTATCCTGATTGTGAGTTTTTTCCCCATGTTTGGGTGGTAGTGGGGGTGAGGTGAGAGGTAGAAATTAATGATGAAGACAGAAAAAAGGTGATAGTATATCTAAAGTGAATCTCTGAGATTCATTGCCTGAAATGGGAGCTAAACTTGTGTGATTCAGAGGCAGGGGAGTGGGTTTAGGGATTGTGTGGGGGAGGGTGTGTCCTGACTGGGAGGCCTGCTCTCTTTATCTCTTGGAAGTTGGAATAAGGGAGAGGGAGAAACTGGGTGAAAGCCGAATGTAAGAACAATTTCTACACCTCTGAGCAGGTAAAAGTGGCTGGATTCTTCTCTTGAGCTTTCAAACTCTCACTGGCAGTTTTAGTTTTTCCTTTTGTATGAGAGAGGGTCCTTGTTGAAGCTTGAACTCTCACCAGCCCTACTTTCCCTGCAGCTCCCAAGGCCCCACTGTTTCTCTGTTCCTGGTGTTTTCAGACCCTGTGGGTCAGTAGGCTTTTACTTACCAAGCAGTTGATTAAACACAAGGTTAGGATCATTTGCCACATCCAGGGCCATTCTTTCCTGTCTTTAAAGAACCAGGCTTCCCATAGTTAGTCATGCAATTTTGTTAAATAAAGGTGCCTGTGGCCAAGGGTAGGAAAGCTACAGGATTATGGGTAAATCCCAGCCACTTTCAAGATTCTGTTTTCAGAGGGCCATGTTTCTCCTGTTCATATAAGATGAATTACCTAAGAAAACTTGGAGTCCTGACCCCACCCATCACAGCTTTATCCCATCTGGGCAGTGGGTGAATGTGGCTGCTGTAATCTCTGCTCTTTCCCCAGGGAAAAACAGTTTCTCACCATTCCTGTAGGGTCTGATATGCAAAGCAGCCATCCCAATCCCACCCAAGTGATGAGGCATGGGGGTTTCCTAACCCCAAATCTAACGTCTTGCTCTTTCTTCCCCTTGGTTCTTCCCTTCCCCCCTAACCTCTCCCCATACTGTCAGTGAGAAGAAGGAGGAAGTGACCATGGATACAAGTGAACACAGACCTGAAAATGAGGTTCCAGAGCTCCCCGTGCCTATTGCAGACCAAGTCAGCAATGATGACCGCCCAGAGGGCAATGCTGAGGACGAGGAGAAAAAAGAGGTAAATATGCAAGCCACCAGTTGGGGTGGGTGGGCAGGAGTGAACCTAGGGGAAAGAGTTGATCACTCTGGTGATCCCTCTTAAAGCAGTGGGATAGCTTAAGGAAGGGACTAGGCAGAGACTAGGATCAGGATAAGGCCATGAGAGAATTCGCTGGTTTAGCAAGGGAGACCCCTTGTGATGGGGACAGGGCTCTTTTCATTTCTCTTTCCTTTTTGGGGAAGTAGTGCAGTCAGGATTTCTCTGAAGTTTAACTAGCAGGAAAGTCAGTTAATGTCCCTTTAACTTAAAACCCAGGTTCAGCTTTCCCTGCCACCTTCTGGAGCTTCTTCCTGTTGGTAACTCTTTAAGCTTTCCCTCCTTTTTAAAAACCTGTTGGAGCTCAACGCCATCTAGTGGGCTTTCTTGGTTCTCAGCTACCAGCCATGCTGAGGAATTTTTGCTCCTCATCTGCCCCCCAGTGGTCTCATTGCAGAGATGTAGCTACTTAGAAGCCAGCATCTGAGGGGGTTATGTGAAGTGCCCTTCTCCATTTCTGTGACCCCTCTACCTCCTTTTGTGGCATATATGTGATCTTGTGTCCTGTGCCCAATTCAGGGGGCTCCTCCCATCAGAGCCAGCGAAGTCTTCTTGGCTCCTAAGGGAAGAGGAAGAATTTAGCTGGGTTTGAGAGTAGGGCAACAGGGTGGGAGGGACTGTTGCGTGTGTAGCCTTTCTTTGGTGTGTGTTGCGGGGGTGGGGGCCGGTGAAAGTGATTTGATGTGCAGAATATTATTTATTACAAGGTCCTTCTTCCCCGTAAAACTTTGTCCAAGTACCTCATGTACGGTAATCCGCCCGTAAAATATAACCCTGCCCAACTGGCCAATCGCTGATGCCGCCTCTTCCTCTGGACCCACCCGCTGCTACTGAGCTGCCCAATCAGAGCCGAGTCTGCTATCCAGGTGTCTTGGCCAGAGGGGGGCATGTATATGGGATCCTGTGATGGGCCCTCTTTTGCCTCCCTGCCTTGCTTACATCAGGGGGCCAAGAAGAGCACTGTTCTGGAGAGACTTGTATTGAAAAAGCAAAAAGCATTTGGAAAGGGGTGGACTTGCATCATCTCCCTATTTGGGACACCCCAAGAAGAGCTTGTGTCAGTGCTGGGGCGCCTGCCCACATGCCCTTACCCTTTTGAGGACTGTGGGTCGCCTTGTTTGCTACAGACTGTTGGGATCCCTGTATAGGGCACCAAGATCTCCTAAAGAGTCAGTGTTTGTGATCACAGTGCCATGCTGTGGAGTACCGAGTGGGGCTCTCTGCTTAAGCTGTGACGACTAGGAACCCTACAGAGAAGTCTAGGGTCTGAACCCAGGGATTTAATGCTGATGACAGGCCAGACCATGTATCACCACTTGCTCATCAGATGGACTTTCCTTTGGTCCCTGTTGTCCATGGTAAAGGACAGCATGTTGGTTGCTCCAACTTCTCCTCCATCCCTGGAGGCAGGGACTCATCCATCCACCTGCCTGGAACACTGTCTCAGCTGGAGTCCCTGAGGAGATGCCACACACAACTCTAAGAAGAAAAGTGTTCTGACCTTGCTGCTGAATGTGTGCCAGGTCCTGGGGCTCTCCACCTACCCCCAGGCCACCTTCATCAGAGGCTCCATGATCCCACTCGGTGAGAGGACCCCCTCCCCAGTTACAGGCAGAGGAGAAAGGGGTTCTGGAGTCATCATCTGGATTCCAAGTATTGGGTGGTGGTATTGTTGCAGCTTGCCACTGGTGGACATAGGGTCCTGCCTGACTCTCACGATGAAAGGCCAGGACCATTCCTGCTACTCACAGGCCGTCTCATCAGGGACTGCAAGATGATGCCCCTACAGGGCTGGGACTGATGTCTCTGCCCCTTTTCCCCTGTACCCCTCGCTGAGCCTGGCCACCGCCAGTGAACTGTCTTGACATCATGGAAACTGGGCAGCGTCCCCTCACACGTTTCCCTCCCGCCCCCCCTGCGCCCCTGGGAGGACTCTAGCAGTGCCGCGCTGACTACCACGCCGTGCGCCCACCTTTTTTGCCAACCCAACCCCCCACCAATTGCACAGCGCCTAGCAGGGAGGGCTCATTCTGATTGGACCGGCGGTTGACTAGATACAGTACACAGTGAGGTGCGATTGGCTGAACTGAAGATCCCAGGTGTGAGATGGTACCTGGAACATTTGTCATATTCCTAGTTTATTTCTTTATTTTCTTCTTCTTTTCCTTTTTTTTAAATCTTTTAATTTTTTTCCTTATCTTTATATTTCTGATTTCTTTATTGGATTTATTTGTTTGGTTCATGTTTTTAATGTTTTAATTAAGACCTTTTTTTTTCTCACTAACTTACCCATCAAGAGCAGCCTGGCTAGGGGTCAGGCTAGCCCTTAACAGAGACCAAGGAGACTTGGTTAGATGATACAATCGGGGCGGGGTTGGGGGGTGGATGGGGGAGAGGGATTTCATGAAGAGGGTCCTGTCCTACCCTTTAGAAGGGTGGTAGGTCTTAGTTTTCCCAGAAATAAGCACCTGAATCTAAAAATATTCTATTTCCCTTTTCTTTCTCTTTTTTTGCTTTGTTTATAGTCTTTCTCCCACTGAGTATTTGGGGTAGAAACTTGCTTGAAAGCAAGTTCGAAAGTTTCTGGTCCTTGGCAGAGCCCCTAAGGCTTAAGCCCTGGTTGGAGAGGAAACAGTAAGGCTCTGCTAGATCTCCAAACAGTGCTTGGAAGGTCGGAGACTCCCTAAGGATAGTCTGCCCTAAAGAAAAACTTTTTTTTTTAACCGAAAGCACCTTTAAAGTCTTTCTGCTGGCACTTGGCTCAGTAGCCTCATCTCCAGTGCGTCTGGTGCTGCCCTTCTTCATGTTGTGGTGGGGGGTCTAGGCAGTCTGGACAGTCAACTGCCCTAGCGACTCAAAGCCACTGTCCATGGATGTAGGGCTGGACATTGAGAAATGGAGGAGGGTTACCTCATTGCAGTTGCAATCCCAGAATTGGTTTTCCTTGTTTCCTCGTGTCTCCTCGAGTTAACGAGGAAGATGCAGGAAGACTAGATAGTCTGGTTCTGGACACAGCTTGTTGGACCTTGTGTCCTCAACCTGTAGAGACAGTGGGAGAGAGAGCACATGACTGATGCCTTTCAGAGGCTGGGAGGCTGCTGAGTTTTCTTTGCTGGCTTATTTCTGGTTAAGCTAATACACAGGTGTGGTATGGCCTAGATGACTTTTCCCTGCTGTGATGTTTGGTTTTATTTTTTTCTCTAACTTGCATTGATTCTGCTTCGTTTTTGCCGTTTGCCGCTTCTGTTTTGGTCTCTGTCTGTCTCTGTGTCTCTCTTCTCTGTGTCTTTGGAAGCTATGCTAAGACTATCCCATCTAACCTCCTTCCCCCCTCTCTGTGGGGTGTGTCTCTTTCTCTTTTTTTTTTCCCCTTTTCTTCTCTATACAGAGCTCGCTGCCCAAATCATTCAAGAGGAAGATCTCCGTTGTCTGTAAGTCTAGCCCCAAATCCTTGATAAAAACGGGGAATACCTAAAAGTCAGAGTTCACTGAGAAATAGACTCCCATTCTCTCTTGGTGGCATTCTTGGGTCACCTCCATCCCCACCCCACCACCTCCACCCAGCAAATCTACATCTTGGTGTACATAAGGTTCCATTTTGAAATGTAAAACTTTTGAAAATCCCTGCCATTTTTCCCCAGTCACATTTCTTTCTTAACTCTAATGAGATACACTGAGATGTCTTATCATTTCCTATCTAGTCCTACATGTGTTTATTCTTTCAGATATCAACCCTCAGAACCAGGAGTGGGTATGAGGGACTGCTGTATAATGCTTACCAGTTTGTGCTTTATTCTAAGAGAGCATCTGAGGAAATGAGAGTGCCCCACACCTCAAACAGTAACATTTTTAACATTTTCACAATTTCTAATTAACGAAAGTGATAGATGTTCATAACTTAAATGCCACTCTGTACTGTGAAAATTAACCTAAAGCATGACCAGATCGCATCATGATCTTATATTAGCTTTACTTCAGATATCACACAGCCTTGTTTTTTCTGTATCTCCATGTACTTCTCAGTGTGTCTTCCCCAGTACTTGAGATATTTCTACCACTAAGAGTCTGAACTGCTCACCAACCTAGTTGCCCCTCCCTTGTTGCTCCAGAGATCAGTAGTTTTCATCTGTCAGGAAATGACTCCAGTTCTTTTCTTGCTCACTCTGAGGCATGGTTTCCCCAGGTAGTTTTCTTAAGTTAACCTTTTATTAAAATAATAGTCCATGTCCATCTGTGAGTGTTTTGTGACCCAGAAGAGGGCCTGAGACTGACTAACCATTGGGTCGTATTTCTTGGGGACAGCAGCAACCAAGGGGGTGCCAGCTGGAAACAGTGACACAGAGGGAGGCCAACCTGGTCGGAAGCGGCGTTGGGGAGCCAGCACAGCCACCACACAGAAGAAACCCTCCATCAGTATCACCACTGAGTCACTCAAGGTGAGGTGGAGATGCTGGGGAAGGGAGGATGAGACATGCTGAGGTGGGAGTAGACACGGGCCCAGTGTAACGGGGTGGGGGGTATCTGTGTCCCAGAGCCTCATCCCCGACATCAAACCCCTGGCGGGGCAGGAGGCGGTTGTGGATCTTCATGCTGATGACTCCCGCATCTCTGAGGATGAGACAGAGCGTAATGGTGATGATGGGACCCATGACAAGGGACTGAAAATATGCCGGACTGTCACTCAGGTGAGGCTTCTGCACCCGTGTCAAGGAAGGGAGCAGTGGGCACACAGCAGGCAACTGAGGGAGGAACTGTGGTGGCCTTGTAGAAGGGAACTCTCCCATCTGTGCAGAGGGTTGGGTTGAATGGCCCTTCAGTGCATCAGCAGATGACCACATCCAAGCTTTGCCTGTAATAAATAGTGTATTAGAGCACAGCCACACCAGTCTCTTCACTGCGGTTGGGCTGTTTAAGTGCTTTAATGTCAGAACTGAATAGTGAAGCAAACTGTATGGCTCACAAGGCCTAAAATACTTATTTTCTTTCTCTATACAGAAAACATTAGCTGACTCCTGCCATAGTTTTCCTCATAGCGGAGTTAAGGCATTATCAGTCCCAGGGTCTGGTAGAGGTGACCTTAATAGTGAAATCCCCTTCCAGTAGAAGGAACATAGTAGGTTGAGTATACCACTCTCTTTCAGGAAAGCAGAAGCTGAAAAGAATGTTTTCAGTTTGGTGTTTAAGAAGCCCTCTGTTATCTGATACCTTACAGGTGGTCCCTGCAGAGGGACAGGAGAATGGGCAGAGGGAAGAAGAGGAAGAAGAGAAGGAGCCTGAAGCAGAAGCCCCTAGGCCTTCCCAGGTTTCAGTAGAGGTGGCCTTGCCCCCACCTGTGGAGCATGAAGTAAAGAAAGGTGGGTGAAGTGTTAGGAGTGAAGCATAACACAGCTCCTTGATTTCCCAGGGCCCTTTTTTGGACCTCTTCTAGAGCATTTAATGTTTTCTATCTTGTATTACAGTATTTTACATGTCTGTCCTACATCCCCTCTCCTAGTTATTAAGCTGTTTGAGGGCTAGATCCACATCTGCTCAACCTTGACTCTCCACAGTGAGGAGACTGGCCTAGACAGTGCTGTCACATTCTACATGCTCAGCATAATTAGATGGAGGGGTCATGCTTGATAGGAAATAAGAGTCAGACATGAGAGGCGAAAGAGCCAGCATTGCTCCCTACTGAAAACCATTTGTGTCCTCTCATTGATAGTGACTTTAGGAGATACCTTAACTCGACGTTCCATTAGCCAGCAGAAGTCTGGAGTTTCCATTACAATTGATGACCCAGTCCGAACTGCTCAGGTGCCGTCCCCACCCCGGGGCAAGATCAGTAACATCGTCCACATCTCCAACTTGGTAAGTCACTACTCCACAGTGCAGCTTTGTTCAGTGATTAGGAGTCTGAGCTTTGGACTCATGCTGCTTAGGTTTAACTCCTAGACCTGCCATGCACTTACTCATTGACTCTGAGTGAGTCATGTTACCTCACAACCTGTCTCATCTGAAAAGTTGGAGAAAAAAGCATCACCCTGCAGGGCCGGCCATCTTGAGGATTTGCAGAGAACCTGGGACAGGATGTCTCAGTGTTGCCGCTCTTCTCACATTCCTACAAGAGGGTTTCTAACCTCTGCCCTATAACCTCTCACTCAAACTTGGAAGCCATACTCCTGTGCCAGCAGCTTGGGAAATCTTAAGACTTGTTATGTGAGCAGTATTCTTGCCTTCCTCAAGACCCTAAAACTCCATTTTCATTGACAGGTTCGTCCCTTCACTTTAGGCCAGCTGAAGGAATTGTTGGGTCGTACAGGAACTCTGGTGGAAGAAGCCTTCTGGATCGATAAGATCAAATCTCACTGCTTTGTAACGGTGAGGGGAAGAAGCTGATTCTCTAGGCTATGGCATTTATTTCCTTTTGTGACCAATGTGGGCAGATTTAAGGGCATATTGGCAAGTGGGAGGGATTGAAGGCCTGTTGTGACCCTCTGCCTTCTCCCTTCCTCCACCAGTACTCGACGGTAGAGGAAGCAGTCGCCACCCGCACAGCTCTACATGGTGTCAAATGGCCCCAGTCCAATCCCAAATTCCTTTGTGCTGATTATGCTGAGCAAGAGGAGGTAAGAAACCTAGGGAAAGACAGGAGGGTAGGGGCAGGGGAGGCCACTATCTGCTAGATTCCAGCTGAGATCCTGGCCAAACCTGCAGTTACTGAGATGCCTTCTCCCTCTCCTCCCTCCTCTTCGGTTCCTTTAGTTGGACCATGGGGCTCTGAAGTCTCTGTGCCCTGGTACTTGGGCTCCTCAGTGGGAGTGATATCATCTCTATCCTGACTGTCCTTGTCCCTCCTCTACCCACAGCTGGATTATCACCGGGGCCTCTTGGTGGACCGTCCCTCTGAAACTAAGACAGAGGAGCAGGGGGTACCACGGCCCTTGCACCCCCCGCCCCCACCCCCAGCCCAACCACCACAGCACCCCAGGGCAGAGCAGCGGGAGCAGGAGCGGGCGGTGCGGGAACAGTGGGCAGAGCGGGAACGGGAAATGGAGCGGCGGGAGCGAACTCGATCAGAGCGTGAATGGGATCGGGACAAAGTTCGAGAAGGGCCCCGTTCCCGATCACGGTCCCGTGACCGCCGCCGCAAGGAACGTGCGAAGTCTAAAGAAAAGAAGAGTGAGAAGAAAGGTACTTAGCTGTGGGGCACACGTACCCACTAGTAAGGGGGAAAGGGACACAGTGTCTTTTATGCATCAAGCCTGACTGACTTCTTCCACCTCAGAGAAAGCTCAGGAGGAACCACCTGCCAAGCTGCTAGATGACCTTTTCCGGAAGACCAAGGCCGCTCCCTGCATCTATTGGCTGCCACTGACTGACAGCCAGGTGAGTTCTTGCCTTCCTGCCCTGCTCAGCTGGGTCCAGGCTTGGGGCACTGTAGGGGGAAAGTGAGTAGGCCCAGGTTTTGGCTTCGGACAGTGAGTGAAGACACTAAGCATCACAGGAGGCAGTGTTAAGAACCAGTTGACAAGCATATGGTAGAGAAGCCAGACCTAGGACGGTGAAGATAGGCACAGACAGGAGCTGTTTGTGTAACCTAGGAGCTGACTGTGTCAACCACACATAATGGAGATCGATTTCAGTTAGCTGAGAAATCCATGTTTTATAAACTCTTTCTCTGCTTTTTAATTTTGAGTTTTTGGCTTGAAATTTAAGTTCTCGGCAATGGGCCTTTTGGGAAGTTTAGGCTTATGATTACTCAACTAAAGAGAAAAGATGTGTCCATATCTGGGTAGCTCAGGAAATAGATGCCAGGCTTGGATGGTGCCACTACCTGTTGGAGGTCTCAACAGTGAAAACCTGGAGGGACTGGGGCTTTGCGGCAAGGACAGATGTGATTGCCTTAACAGCAAAGCTGACACCCTGAGTTAGAAGAGTGGAGTCCAGGTGCAGATCGACAGTGCAGGACTGATGTAAGCAGGGCTGAGGTCTCTGTCTGCTACCTTCCCTGCCTACTACAGATTGTTCAGAAGGAGGCGGAGCGGGCTGAGCGGGCCAAGGAGCGGGAGAAGCGGCGAAAGGAGCAAGAAGAAGAAGAGCAGAAGGAGCGGGAGAAGGAAGCAGAGCGTGAACGCAACCGCCAGCTAGAGCGGGAGAAACGTCGGGAGCATAGCCGGGAGCGGGACAGGGAGAGGGAGAGGGAGAGGGAGCGAGACAGAGCAGACAGAGGGGATCGAGATAGGGATAGGGAAAGGGACCGGGAACGAGGCAGGGAGAGGGACCGCAGAGACACCAAGCGCCACAGCAGGAGCCGGAGTCGGAGCACACCTGTGAGGGACCGGGGTGGGCGCCGCTAGCTGGGAAAACACTAGGGAGAACTGCAGGCATCAGCCACCCTGTTCCCAGGGGGTTCAAGGCCACAGGGGATAGATACAATCTCCACAACCCTGAAACCAGGGTGTCACACCATTTGCCCAGTGCTGAAATAGGGTTGCCACTTGTCCCTGTATTGGAACAGTGGCCGTCTTTCCCCTGCCTGCCCACCCTCCATAGCCTATCTCTTGGGACTTAACCCTCTCCTCCCTCTCATTTCCCATTAAGTCTGTGAGAGGGAAGAGGTAGGTGAGGAGGATGGTTGGCCCAGAGCTGGGGAACAGCAAGGAGCCCAAACCGCTTTCATTTTTCCTCCATCATGCTCACCTCCTTTGGGTACTCTAAATGCCCGAATGGGAACAGCTGGGGCCAGGACTGGGTCACCTATGAGCTGAATCAGCATCTCCTCCTGAGTCCCAGGGCCCCTGCAGTTCCCAGTCTCTTCCTGCAGCCCTGCCTCCTGCCCACCGGTTCCACTTTATATCCACCTTTTCCTTCTGTTCAATTTTTATTTTTATTTTTTTTATTATTAAATGATGTGGTCTATGGAAAATAATAAAAATCTGACTTAGTTTTAACTGGTGTGTGAGTGGCTATCCTTGGTCAGGGCCTGGGTGAGAGCCTAATTGAAGTGGATGGCTGTAGCATGGAGCCAGCATTGCTTCGTTCCACACAGGCCTACTGCCGCTTCCTAGGCCCACCCTCTACTCTATACCTTGGCTCTAACCACACCACTACTATGGCTCTTCACTGGACTACGAGGGAAAGACGGTGGAAAAAGGGTCTTTCCAGGTTCCCAGTCCTGAGCTCCATGTATTTGGTCACCTGCTCGCCACCCTCAACGTGCCTCCCACGGCTGCCACCAGGGGGCGGCAGCCGTTCACTCAGTAGACTCCCTACCTCTGTCCTCTCACGCCTCTGATGCCTCGGTCCCTGACCTGTCCCTGGGCCCGGCCCGCAGACTCCCTGAACCCTTCTGCCGTGTTGCTCACCCCCGACCGCCAGCTATCGTGCCCTGCACGGGCTCCTGAAATGCCGCCGCCTTGGGTCGGGGTCCACAGCCGCCCAAAGGCAGGTCCAGGGAGGGAGGAACGGGGCCTCTGCAACAGACTCCTAAATCCCAGTCTCACCGCGCGCTAGCCCTTCGCCCCGCTGCAGGAGGGCGTGTGGGCCGCTTCGCGTTCCAGGGTGCACCCTCCCTGCCCTGCCAGCTCTTGGAAATGTCCTGGCGCCGTGGCCCGAACGTTCTCCCGCCCGGCTTTCCCGCCGGGCGCTGCAGGACTGACCCAGGAGGAGCGCCGCATCTGTATGCGCCCGGCAGCCCGGCAGCTCCGAGGGGGCGGGCGCCAGGCGCCGTCCCCGCCCCCGCCGCGCGGGCCCGGGCTGACCGGGGAGGGTCGGAGGCTGGGCTCTCTCCCGCGCGGCGCGGAGCCGGCTCGCTCCTCCGCAGGCGGAGCCTCATTCCCCCGCCCCCTCCGTCTCGCTCCCTTGTTCTCTCCGGGGCCGCTCAGACCTGCAGCGGAGCCGCGGCTCCCGCTCCGATCGGCTTGGGGCTGCGCCCCCGGGACCCAGCGACTGGGGCGGGTGGGGACGCTCACCGCGGGGCTGCGCTCCTCGGCACTGCCAGGTAAGAGCGCCTGCCCTGGAGCCCCGGGTGGGGAATCGGCGGAGGGGCAGCGGGGGGCCCGCAGCCTGCGGTTGTCTTCAGAGCCGTGCGCTCCGCGGCTGGGAGCCCACTGCCGGCTCCCTTCTCCCGCGCTCCACCTCTTTCCCTTCTTGCTTCACATCTCTCCCTCTTTTCCCATTTTCCTCCCCCTTGATTTCTCTTCACCCTGCCTCCTGTCTTCCTGTTTGCCTCCTCTGCCCCTTCCCTCTCTCTCCTGCTCGGTCTTTCTCCATCTCCTCTTCGTCTTTGCCTTTTCCTTCCTCTACCTTTCTTTCCTTTCCTGTCTTTCTCTCTTCCTTTTCGCGCTCTCCTTTCCGTCCCCTATGCCTCCCCTCGCCTCTCCTATTCCCTTCCCGCTATCCGGTTTCCCACTCCTCTATCCCTTTTCTTCGCTCAGTCCCGCCTCCCTCTCTGTCCCCGGCGCCCCTCCGGCTTCCCTCTTCCCTCGGGAGGGAAAGGACTGTCAGGTGTGTGTCTGCTCTGGAGGAGGAGGGGCGGTAGCCACAGCTACCTGAACGTCCCCCCTAGGAGGAGAGGGAGGAGACAGCAGCAGGCAGTATCTTCTCTCTCGCTCCCTTCCCGCAGCCGCCCCTGGCTGCCCCCTCTCCCAGAAAGAAGTTCCGGTCTCAGCCCGCAGCTGAGGGCTGCCTCTGCCTGCCCATCACACCTGCTGAGAAAGCCCCCTGCTCCCCGCCCACCCATTCCCAAACCTGGAACCTATGACTTCTGTGTGCCTTTCAGACACCCAGCCTGCTTCATTTAGTCTCTTTCCTTCTGTCTCTTGCTGCCTTTCTGTCTATGTCTCTGCCGGACAGTCTGTGGGTGTTGGTCTCACTCTCTGTCATATTGTCTCTAGTCTCTGGATTTGCCTCTGCCCCCCCTCCAGTCTCCTGGCCCTGTCCCCAACTCTACCCCCTCTTCTTTCAACTCTGGTCCCCCAATCTGCCTCATGGCCAGGCCCCTTCAAGGACTTCAGCTGGCAGTACAGGCTGGGGGCCAGTTCTGGGGAGGTGGGGTTCCCCATGGAGGAGGGACTTACATAGGGTCTCCACCCTGTTTTAGCTACACTCTATGTCATCTCTCAGCCTGACCCAAGATACCGAGACCACACCTCCATGAATCCCAGCCTCTGGGTTTGAAGCCCTTTTCCTGATAGCCCCCATCTCCTCCAGCCCTCTGGCTTTATGCCCAACTAGGGAGGACAGGGGCCAGGTTTGGGGTTCCAAACCCTCCCAGCATGGCCTCTCATTTCCCCAGCTTCTCCACTCAGAGTTGACTGGCTGGAGATTTATCAGCTTGAAGGGCTGGAGGTGAATACAGGCAGAGCCTGGATAGAAGGAAGGATCAGACTGTCCGCTCTGCCTTAGTCTGGGTACTAGGCAGTGGGGTATCTGGTTCCTTGGAGGTCTCAGCTTCAGCATTTAACTTTGGTGGGGGAAGAAATAGGGGTTTCCTTTAGTGTGAACAACTACCTGTCTTGCAGGTGTGGATCCATGGGGTAGACCCAATGCATCGGCCCCCCTGCCCAGCCAGCTCATGTCTCAGCACCCAGGGGCAGTGAACTCCCTGGCTGGAGCCCAAACATGTGGGGCCTGGTGAGGCTCCTGCTGGCCTGGCTGGGTGGCTGGGGCTGCATGGTGTGCCTAGTAGCCCCAGCCCGGGCCTGGGCAGGGTCCCGAGGGGGCCCAGGACCAGCACTGCTGCGGAATCGAAGGAGCTGGGTCTGGAACCAGTTCTTTGTCATTGAAGAATATGCCGGTCCAGAGCCTGTCCTTATTGGTAAGGTAAGGAGCAACCCCTCCCATGTCTACCCTGACTCTTGAGGCCCTTAGGCCCTGCCCTGCAACTTCGTCACTTCTGCAGTGACCTTGGTCGCTCAGGACTCCCACGCTCCACCCAATCCAAGACTTAGATTCTTCAACCTTCTGTCCCTCTGCTTGGAATGCACCCCCATTTTTCCCTGACTCCTACAGCTTCACTCAGATGTGGATAGGGGCGAGGGCCGCACCAAGTACCTGCTGACCGGGGAGGGGGCAGGCACCGTATTTGTGATCGATGAGGCCACAGGCAATATCCATGTCACCAAGAGCCTTGACCGGGAGGAGAAGGCACAGTATGTGCTACTGGCCCAAGCTGTGGACCGAGCCTCCAACCGGCCTCTCGAGCCCCCATCAGAGTTCATCATCAAGGTGCAGGACATCAACGACAATCCACCCATCTTTCCCCTCGGGCCCTACCATGCCACAGTGCCGGAAATGTCCAATGTTGGTGAGCCTCCCAGGTCCCATCCCCTGGAGCACTCTCACCCCTCCTTCCCTCTCTGCTTTCTGTCCCAGAACCCACCTCTTTCATTTCAGCCCTCTCCTGTCTAGGCCCCCTCATCTGCTGGTCTTCCCCACCCAGCCCTGCCCTTGCTGAGTGGGGTGCCGGGATCCCCCACAGGGACATCAGTGATCCAGGTGACTGCTCACGATGCTGATGACCCCAGCTATGGGAACAGTGCCAAGCTGGTGTACACTGTGCTGGATGGACTGCCATTCTTCTCCGTGGATCCCCAGACTGGTAAGGATAGAACTCAGGAGCTTGTGGGGCAGCCATGGGCACAGGTGCCCCTGACCAGTCCTCTCTCCCTAGGAGTGGTGCGCACCGCCATCCCCAACATGGACCGGGAGACACAGGAGGAGTTCTTGGTGGTGATTCAGGCCAAGGACATGGGCGGCCACATGGGGGGGCTGTCGGGCAGCACTACAGTGACGGTCACCCTCAGCGATGTCAATGACAACCCCCCCAAGTTCCCTCAGAGTAAGGAGCCAGTGCTGCCGCTGAACCATCCTTTGACCTTGCCACCCCTACCACCTCTGGAGATGCCTTCCCTCCCCAGCCCTCCCCCAGCCAGGCCCCTGGGGAAGGAAGTGCTGGGAGAGGGAGGAGGACTGGGGACCTCTCTAAGAAAGTCTCCCCTCCATCCACCCCCCAAGGCCTGTACCAGTTCTCCGTGGTAGAGACGGCTGAGCCGGGCACCCTGGTTGGCCGGCTGAGGGCCCAGGACCCAGACCTGGGAGACAATGCCCTCATGGCGTACAGCATCCTGGATGGGGAGGGGTCCGAGACCTTCAGCATCGGCACAGACTCCCAGGGTCGAGATGGGCTACTCACAGTCCGCAAGGTTAGCCTCCTGTCTGCTGACATTTGCAGACTCATTCATATCTGCCTCCTGCCACACAGGGCACACTTCTAACTGGGCTAGAATAGACTCAGGTCTGCTGTATTGGAGTGTAGAGATCTTTCACATGAGGGCCTGGGTTCCAGAATGGGGAAGTGACTGACTCAAGCCTTCATGCCGCAGATCTACTTGGAGCTGGCAGTAGACCTAGAGTTACCGACCCCGACCCCCAAGGCCACTGCCTCTCTGGTGCCTGCCTTTCCTCTCTGGAGGGCTAAGCACTGGGTATGTGTGGAAAAGGGGCTTCTCACCTGGGAGCCTGGGTCTGCACTCGTTTCCACATACATCAGTTGCTCCATCGCCCTTCACCCTAGCCCCTAGACTTCGAGGGCTGTCGCTCCTACTCCTTCCGAGTGGAGGCCACCAACACGCTGATCGACCCAGCCTACCTGCGGCGAGGGCCTTTCAAAGATGTGGCCTCCGTGCGTGTGGCTGTGCAGGATGCCCCAGAGCCACCTGCCTTCACACAGACTACCTACCACCTGGCAGTTCCTGAGAACAAGGCTCCCGGGACCCTGGTGGGCCGGGTCTCAGCTGCTGACCTGGATTCCCCGGCCAGCCCCATCAGGTGAGCTGGAGTGTGGGCTGGGCCAGGGTCTGCCTGGGAAAGGAGCCTAGTGGCAGGCTCTCCCCACCCAAGGACATGCCCCCTCTACTATAAATCTCACTCATCTCCTAGCAGAGGTCTGTCTGCCTGCCAGCCTGGGAGACAGGGGAGGGCTAGAGGACCTGGCTAACCACTCCTCAACTCTCCACCCATCCTTCCACATGAATAATAGTGGCACCTCCCAGTGGTGGTGCCAGCAGATACCATCTCATCTGAGTAATGCGATTGATCAACTGATCGCTACCACTGTTATTACTCCCTCAGTGCTTCCCATTTCACCCACTTGATAACATTTGGGGCTCACAACAGCCCTGTGAAGTAGGCATTGTCATCATCAGTTGTTTTAGAGGCAAGGCCCTGAGAGGGTAAGTAACTTGCCCAAGGTCACACAGTCAGTAATAGAGCTGAGATTCAAATCCAGATTTGTCTGCCTCGAGAAGAGCCACTCTTTCCACCTGTCCACACAGCATCCCTGTCACAGCACTGAGGGAGGTGCTGGTGTCATTCCCATTTTGTAGTTTAGTAAGCAGAGGTTAAATGATTTGCCCAAGGTCATACAGCTGGTCTAAGGCAGAGCACAGCTGCAACACAGGTCCCTGGATCCCCAGAACAGAGCCCAGAGTCCTGAAAGACAGGCAGCATTTATCCCTGCTTCCACCCCTTCCCATCTCTCTTGTTTCCCATCCCCACAAAACCCAGTCCCCATGAGTCTTAGGGCAGCTGTTTAATGTTGGTGACTTCCCAGGGACATTTGTCTTTTAAGGGGACCCTAACATGAATTATGGCTCTGGGTGCATGGGGCAGGCTCCGCCCAACAAGCTCCGGCCCTTTGCCCAGATGAGTCATGAGGCCCAGCAAGGTGAACAGAGGGAGGGAGGAGCAGCAGTGAGCTCGCACCCTGCCCCCCAGATCAGCCCCCAGCTCAGCTCCATCTTTCCCAGATACTCCATCCTCCCCCCCACGGATCCAGAGCGCTGCTTCTCTATCGAGCCTGAAGACGGCACCATCCGCACAGCAGTGCCCCTGGACCGCGAGGCTCGTGTCTGGCACAACCTCACAGTGCTGGCCACAGAGCTTGGTGAGGAGGCCTGGGCCCCCTCAGGCCCAGGAGAATGCAGCAGCTTCCCGACAGAGCAGCTATTCCCGAGCATGGGGTGGGAAGGGCAGTCACTGCCAACATACCCTCACCAGTGCACAGCTGCTGGGTCCCCAGCCTGCATCATCCCCACCAGGCAGGCCTCCTGGTCTCCTGGGCTGGGTGCAGTGGCTCTGCCCTAGTGTTGGGCTGACCTTCGGTTTGCCCCCACACCTGACTTTCCCCAATCAGGAAACAAACCTAACCTCAAATAGCTCCTGACCCCAATGAGGCCAGCCTGCACCCTGGCCACTCTGCTGCAGGCTGAGGCCAAGGGCCAGCTCGAGGCTGGGCGTCTCCTCTGTGGGGGGCCCTAGCAGCCCCTTCCAGGGAGGCCATGTGGGGGAGAGCAGCCAGCTCTGTGATGGCCCTGTCTGTCACCAGTCACCAGTAGCACGGTCTGGCTGCCTCTGGGCAGCCCTGGTCCATGGACACAGGGTGACCTCCCTCCTCTCTGTGAACTGCCCTTGTCAGCACCTGCGCACACCCCAGGGCCTCCTACATTGGCTATGTCTTGGGTATGGGCACTGTCACTGCACACAAATGCCTAGACATGTCAGTGGAGAGCTATATGTGTGTCTACTTATGTGTGTGTGTAACTCCATGTATGGGGAAAATCCATATATATACACACACATATATATATGAGTATATATCTGTAATTGGATATATATGTGTGTATAGTTGAGTGTGTAGAATTACATTTATAGTATTTGCCCACATGTGTAATTGGATGTGTGTAGTAATAGGTACAAGTAGCTATTTGTATATATTGTTTTGTGTACGTGAGTATTCACAGACAGATTAATAATGTTACTTCTTGCATATCAGGCACTGTTCTAAATACAAAATATGGATTAATTCATAATCATCACTACAACTTTATGAGGGAGGCATGATTATCTCCCCATTTTAAAATGAAGACTCGGGCAAAGACAAGTCAACTAACTTCCCAAGGTCACACAGACACTAGGTAGTGGAGTTGGCAGACCCAGTCACGCTGCAGAGTCTGAGCATTTACCTCCTCCACCACACTGCTTCACCTAGGTGTTGCATTGTATGCGTATGGGTTTTTGTGTCCAGAGAGCTGTCTGTTATGTGGCAGTGCATGTGTGTCTGTCCATGTGAATATCCCTGTGTGTATATATAAGTATGTTTGTAGCTGCCTGTGTATACATAGCCATGTGTGTGTGTGTGTGTGTGTGTGTG